ATGGTTTTTATCTACCCTATTCTTGTCTCTATGAACGTTCTCGGAAACCAAGACACACCGAAAAATGTATTAGGATTCTGTGCTATTTTCCGAAACCAAGCCCTTAAAATCATTTTTTATTCATGTAAGTAATAGTTTTAGGGAGAAATGATTACAGATTTAGCAACAACAACAACAAAATTAAAAAAAAAATTACGAACTAAATTATCAATTTGAAAGCGAACATGTTAAAATGTAAACGCCTCTCAATCACCAGAAAAAATAAATAAAAGCGATGTATATATATAAATAATATGTGTCGGTTTACACTCTTCTGACCAACTCAAGATGTTATCGCCAATATAACATACTGTCAAAAAGTTCGATCGCCACATTTTCGCATGGAATTTTCAGTTTAATACACGTAATCCAAAAAAAAAAAAAAAAAAAAAAAAAAAAAAAAAAATCTGGATATATGTCAGAATTAATTTTTATTTAAAACATTTTCCCATTTCATTTGCTTTATTCACTGAAATCTGCAGGTAAAATATGTAACCTGGAATTTACACAAAAAGCCCAGTTTAATTAAAAAAAAAATACTTAGTCCGTGCATGCGTGTTCATCCAAGATTTTTTTTAAAGAAATACTGTACATTTCTTGCCATGGTCTCGTTATCTAGACTGACGTCTTTCTATACTTTCGTTATTTACTCTAAAACATTTGAAAATTTCGATCAAGTATTGTCTTCACACGTGCACAGGTAAAAACTTGAGCTGTGTATATTGAACCGTATCTAATCCCGTTAGTCCAGATATGCTTACATTCACACGTGTATCAACAGTTTGCTGTCTTTAACAGTAAGTCTACAACAACGAATCAGTTTTAATCAGCAGATTTAAACAGAATTTCATGTGCAGTCAGCTTTTCTTCTAGATCTTCAATAAAAAAGCGAGTTTGACAAGGAAACAAAGAAGGGGGGGGGAGAGTAATTGAAAAACGGACTATTTATTTCTAACATTTTGACATTAGTTATTTCGGAAATCTGTCTTGCCGTCAATATATATTATATACATTTATACATTGTAGATGGAATTGTCGCTGTCTTAACCGTTTTCTTGATTGTAACTTCCCTTCAAAAAACGTTTTTACACATTGATGGAAAATTTATGTTAAAAGGAAAACAATTACGCGCACAAAAAATAAATAATATTTTGCACTTATTGTGTGCACTTCTACCGATAACTTTTCAATGTATTTTTCCTAGTGATTCAAACACCTAAGAAATCAATGTAAAAAAAATATAATTCCTCGCAAATAAAACTAATAACTTGTTTGATCATTCGGTCAAGAGAAATTTTTTTGTTTGTTTGTTTGTTTGTGTTTTTTTAAGGAAGCAGCAGTGACAAGAACGTAAAAAGAATGGTAGACGAAATGAAAGCATGAGCGATTTATAAAATCAATCTCATTTACTTAAAAGTGTGATATGTGAATATTTAAAATAATAATTGTATTCAATTAGGAAAACTTAAAGGAAAAAAAAAACATATGTACGCTTATTCGTTAAAAAAAATACAGGAAGGCCTTTTATGGCAACGCAACCAAAATATTTTTTTCATCCTTCTTATACAGTGTTTGTTGATATGTTCGATTTCTTTCCAAGTTTAATTGAACCATAAGGCGATGTTGTACAAAATAAGATAAAAAATAGACAACTATAATTATTTATTTTAAAAATTGAAAGTAGTTCATACAGAAAGTAAATAAAAAAAAGATACAGTTATTAAGACGACTAGTTACATTTAATAACAAAAATACAGCTGTAAAAAGGAAATATTTATAAAAGTTTTAACTTAAAAACAACTTATTAAAAAATGCTTGCGACACCGTCCTTCCATTTATATCAAATAAAGAGATTATAATAAAGAAATAAACGACTTTATGAAGTAGCCAATCATAATCTAAAGCGTACAGGCTCCGCCCACTTAATTTACATACCGTTCACCAAAGCGTACCGTTCACAAAACGAACCGTTCCGTGCAAGAAGCGTACCGTACCGTGCACAAAGCGAACCGTACCGTACACAAAACGAACCGTACCGTGCAAGAAGCGTACCGTACCGTGCAAGAGGCGTACCGTGCCGTACCGTACACAAAACGAAACGAACCGAACCATGCAAGTGGTGTAGTAAAGTCTCGTAAAGTGATCCCATGGTGTCATAGGCTGTGACGTCATAGTTGAGCGGTTGAGACGTCACAGCATAGCAAATTGCGATATTGAAAACATATTTCGGAAGAAATTGGCAGTGTTAGGCTCTGTCAAGATGGCTTTGTTACTATCTCTATCTTATTACAGGCCAGAAATTAATTTTACTTACTTTGGTATTCTGCCACACTGTGACAGAATATCACTTTGGTTTCCTTTCACAACGTGACAGAATATCACTTTTATTCAATAAATAAATCACAGTATTTCACTGTTGAAAATGTAATATTTCTTTATCTGTTTAAGCTGTCATCTCAAAAGTGTTAAAAATCGTGAATTTCTTGTACAAGACAGTATTCCCCACAACCTAATTAATAGTGTCCTTCCTGATACATGTATACATTATTTTAACAAACAAATGAAATAAAACTTTTTTTTACAATGGGAGGATCTATAGCTCTCTGGTCGTCCAACCCAAGTGTTTCAGACCAGCAAACTACAGATCTGCAGCTGATAAATACTAAAGTCATTGCCTCTATTTAAAATTGCTGAAAATGATTGAATTCTTTTATTACAAAGTAACAACAACAGTAAAGGAAGAAATCATTCTTGCTATTCAAAACTGTGATGAACTTCATGAATATTACCTGTGTTTCCAGGAAATCACATTAAATGCCGGCATTTCAATTTTATAAACATATATGTAGGAAAAACCATTTCAAAAAAAAAAAAACAAAAAAAAAAACAAAGTCTTAAACAAAAGTGGCAAAAAGACGTCTGTCTGTCTGTCTGTTTGTCCGCAAAAACTTTAATCTTGCCCATAACTTTTGATTGGTTGGAGCTATGACTTTCATATTTCACATGTGTATTTCTTGTGACAAGACTTTCTTTGTGTACCATCATATTTGACCTTTTGACCTTGACCTTGGAGTTTGACCTACTTTTGCATTTTTTATGAGACTTTAACCTTGGCCATAACTTTTGAACAGTGGGTGCTTGGGGTTTCAAACTTCACATGTCTATTCCTCGTGACAAGACTTTCCTTTAGATACCAACCACTTTGACCCTTTGACCTTGACCTAGGAGTTTGACCTACTTTCGAAAAATTTGGTCATAACTTTTGAACGGTTGGTGCTAGGGCTTTCATACTTCACATATGTAATCCTTGTGACAAGTCCTTTCTTTGCATACCAACCACTTTGACCCTTTCACCTTGACATAGGAGTTTGACCTACTTTTGAAAAAGTTTAACCTTGGCAATAACTTTTGAATGAGTGGTTCTAGGGCTTTCATACTTCACATATGTAAGCCTTCCTTTGGATACCAAAAACTTTTAGCCTTTGACATTGACCTTGGAGTTTGACGTACTTTTGAAAAACTTTAATCTTGGCCATACCTTTTAAAAATTTGTTGCTACGGCTTTCATACTACACATGTGCATTCCTTGGGACAAGACTTTCCTTTGGATACCAACAATTTTGGCATTGACCTTGGAGTTTGACCTACTATGAAAAACTTTAACCTTGGCCATAACATGTGAACGTTTGGTTCTAGGGCTTTCACATTTCACGAACATGTGTATCACTTTTGACAAGACCTTCACTTGGGGCCCCATTTGACCTTGAGCTTGATATTTTACTTACATTTAAAAAACTTTAACCTTCGCCATAACTTTTGAACAGTTGGAGCTAGGGCTTTCAAATTTCACAGGTATATTCCTCAAGACAAGACCTTTCTTTGGATACCAACATTTTTTTTATCTCTTGACCTGGAGTTTGACTTGCATTTGAGAAACTTTAATCTTCGCCATAAGCTGCCAAACGGGGGCATCAGTGTTTCACATACACATCTTGTTCTTTAATAGTATTACTCATGTGTAGCTTCATGCTAAGTTTGTTAAATAAAGAGGATGGGCGAACAAGGCTAGCGAAATGCCTTCAGTGCGACAAACCTGAAGGTGAAAAATTAAATATCAATTATAACAAAATTTTCTTTGATATTTCGTCTAACATTAAAGTATACTTTATGCAAAATTTCCATAATTTGCAAAAATTTCACAAAGATTGTAATTATTTGCCTATGAAATAACATACACACACTTAAGAGGGTAAAAAGGATCATTTTTTCATAATATAAAACAATTTTTCGATACGTGTGGGTCTTCGCTCCATTTTTGAAAAATGTATCCTTAAAGTTTGCGTAAAATATACATTTTTGATGGAGCAAAGACCCACTCTTATACCTTAGATATACACTTTTGTGACACAACATTCGCATCTTTCCGAGAAATACTAATTTAAGTCCATTTAGTCAAAGGTCATATCACAAACAAGATTTAAATGTCACATCATATCACAGCATCATGAGTTGTGTAGCGTGGTGTTTAGCGTGGTAATCTCAAAGGAAAATAATACTCAAGGGTTCAAATCCCACGAATATCACATTAATTTTTAATAACAGAATAACCTTTGTCGGGAAAATTTTCCTCAGTTTAACATAATTTCATAAATTTTAATAATGAGAACTTTACTCGAAATACTAAATTCATAAACTGAATACGATTTTTGTATATCTTAAGTTATAGGCATTCTGCATGCCTTGTTCATCCATCTCCTTTATTCCTACACCAGGGTGGACTGAGGCCTAGGGCTTACAGTTCTAGTTATGTTTACACGTATAGACTTCCTTAAAACAACAATTAAAATATTGCATTTTTTACTTACTTCATATGTATATAAACTTAACTTAATCCTTCCCGATCTTAAACTTTGAAATTCTTTCAATTCTAAATTGAAAAAAAGGAATCTTTACCATTACAGCTAACACAAAGCGCGCAAATATATTTGCAATATTTGGATTCAAAGGCAAGTCATTGACAGTGGGTCAGAAGCAGTACTACTTTTACAACACTCCAGCCTATATTAACCCTGAGTTAGATGTCATCATTTTCCAGCTCAAACCGGATATTGGGTTACCGACTGGATGTATCTTAACGAAAGAGAGGTTGTCTTTTCACGAAAGAATCACATTTGTTGGCCATCCTTACGGTGAACCACAGAAAATCTCCGTTGAATGTCCAATTTTGACACCGGAACACCCGATTGTTCTAGAATCCAATGATTACTTCCGCCGACAGTACGGTCCTGGGGGATTTCAAGGTATCAACGACCCTCACTCAGTATTAGTTCAATCAAGGATAGGAGGGGGAGCTGCTGGATCACCTGGCATTGTGCAACGCGGAAATGCGTCACTTGCCTGCATGCTGACTACGGCGTACCCAACATTCCGTGCCCAACTTCCGCCTCGGGATTTAAATTATTCATTTGAAAAAGCTGTTACAATGGAGTCGCTGTACAGCCGTTTAAAAACAGACAATCCTCGATTATGCTTCTCTATTTTCTTACTGCAAACCATATGCCAGGGTGATACAATATAATGTAGTATATTTTTGTAAGCTTTGGGAACTTTTCAAGAGAAGATATACGTATGGATGTGTCAGTAAATGAACTGTAAAGTGTTTCTACGTTTGTTGTTTGTTTGATATATTAGGAATTATGTTTTTAAAGTATTTTTTCAAAAGTAGAATATAAATTTGATCGTTAGTTTCTTTAATTTAAAAAAAGTATTCTTTCATTTTAATTGTGGCTTTTTTACGTAAGAAAATTGTCGGATTGAAGAAGAATTATTTTTTTGTTCTTTGTATTTGTTACATCCCCCCCCCCACCCACCCACATCGCTAAGTATTGAACTACATGTACGTAAACACTTGGAACTAAGGGAGGAATAGAACAGGTTGAATTTTATTCATTGTGAAATATGACTTCTGAACTCTATTCAAAATAAATCAAAGCAATAAATGAATTTGCTTTACTTTTAATCAGTCACACATCTGTGATAAAATTTGTGCTATTACATTACTTTATACTCTTGTTTATGAAGCAAGAAATCAATATATACGCATTAAAACGCGTGGATTTCAACAAACCACAAAGCATCCCCCTTTTCTGAAATTCAAATACATGTATGTTTTTGCATATGAGGAAATAAAATTTTCAAATAAAATTAACCTGTCTCGTGATTGGCTTATTTCCACTCTTGTTCCATGCGTGGGTTTTAAATGGAACTACTTATTAAATTACAGTATGTAGAATTCAGTATAATATTCTAGTGTATTTATCGTTTAAACTAATAAATTAAAATGAACTTCATGCCCCTCTTACCCATAACAAATCCATCGCGCTTGGTCTTAGAAGTTCAGTATACACTGAATTCTGGGTATAGATCATTTATAAATATATTCTGTATACTAGCACTGTGACACTATTCTGTTCAATTTCATTATTATTAATAAACCATCGATAAACGTCTTTGTCAGACAGAGTAAAAAAGAAAGAATCTTGATATTCTTTCATTCTTTTCAAGATGCATTCTAGATAGATTGCAATGACAGGGCGAGTCGCCATTTGTTTGCTCTATACTATTGTGTTGATTGTATTGAGTTTTGTTCGGACAGATTTAAAAGGATTCCAAAACAATGCGGGAGCTGACTTTCCAACACTTTATCAAACATGATACCGTTATGTGATACAATGCTGAACAAACATAAATGCACTATCTCTATCTTGCTAGAACTTTAATTACCGAATGTGCTAAATATTTTCGAAGACATTGTTATGTTGGATTTTTTATTTGAAGGTGAGTAAATATAGAGGAAAAGTATTTCATTTCACACTTTTTGTCTCATAACAATTCTTCTAAATTGAAAGAATTTGGCAATTTTGGCTACTAGTTAATGTATTTTCCTGTTAACTTAAAATTATCAGAAATATTCATTTTTAAAATGATAAATGACTTGACGCATGTTTCTGAATTACTTGAAATTAAAAGCGTATTCTTCACGATCATAGTTTATAAAATTTGTGTTTTAGTGCGATATAACGCGTTAATTAAAAATTATTCGACTAAAACAAAAATCCGTGAATTAAAATTCCGAGTTAATTAGAGAGCAATTACATTACCGTGATACGTCATAGGCGACAATGGCTGATCAGTTGTTTACGTTAATCTTACTAAAATACGCGCGATATATATCACTTTTCTGCGTTATAGGCGACCAAATCACTGATTATATCGATATGAGGTTTGAAACTAAAACTTATATGTTTGAAATGCCATCTGACAGTAGAAAATCTAGAAAATCTTTAAAATCTGTAAAATAACAGTGACAATAGGAAGGGGGTACGCGGCAAAGACGAAGAAACTCGCTTTCAAAATACAATGTGATTTGTCATCAATCCCTTATTATTCACAAATTCAACATTGTGGAATCTTCAAATGGTATTCTGAATTGTCGTTTATGACGTCACAGCAATATAGCGCCGAAGTCCGATTCAAATTTGCATATATCGCCGTATTTGATATCGCTTAAAATATGCTTGCAACACCATTTATTATGTTCAGTATTTAATAATATTTTTCATACAATTACGATTTTAAGAGCATGCGACAAGTCCTTTAATTAATTAGATCTCAACCATTGTACTGTTCTGTTTCGTTGATGAAATGTCCGGTACCCCTTTATTTCATTTTTTAGAAATTTTAGTCAATTGTGTGACTTTCTCTCTCTCTCTTTCTCTCCCTCTCTCTCTCATGCAAATTCTGTACTTAAGCAAAATGTCAGAGAACTGTTGCGTGATTCATTCTCTATCCTTTTCCCCTCGATCCTTTTTTTTTATATTTGTTTTTGGTAATATTTCAAAGTATTTCAAACTTTGCTCCCAATGACGAAATATTTTAAAGTTTTTTTTAATGATACTTTCTGACTTCATTCAGTGGATCACCATATTTACGTATAAAATAAGACATAATATAATATTTACTCATTTATTATCCGGACAATACCCGATATATACCACAAGAGGGTGTATCTATCAATGTTACCGGTATCTTCAGCAAATAATAAAAGCATAATACCAGAGTGCAACGACTTTCAGCTGACCAGGAATCACCGACGACTAAATCGAGCGGCAGCGGTATGAAAATTCAGTTGATACTTCTGCATGGCACATATACATGTAGCAGTACCTTTTAAGGTATAATTAATCAAATGGTTCAAATAATAACCTCTGAAACGGAAACAGCTATTTAATAAACTTGTGGAATTCTCCGAAAGTTCGAAATCAGTTGTCTGCAACGCCACTCTGAAAGGTATGCTGCAGATACGATCAGCATTTTATAAATTTGGAGTGTATGAACTCAAATTTTCAATTGACATATACCTATCGGCTTGTTATTGAAGAAACTTTTAAGTTAAAATAAAACAAGAGGAATTATAATTCTACATTAAAGCTATACACTCAAATCGAATTGTCATTTAACGACGTCCCTATCAGTGAGGGTTCTATGTCATACCAACACCTACCGTGACACGGGGCATCGGTTTTTAACGTCTTGTCCGAAAGACCGGTGACTTTCATTTCTACTGCCGGGTTCCTGGCGAAGTAAAAGTCACTAGTCTTGGGTTTGACTCGGCGCTAGGAAAGAGAATCGAACTAGATACCTTTCGATCACGACGCAAGCGCCCTACCATTAGGCCTACTAGGGGCGACAGGTCCGTTTTCCGGAGAAGGGGTATGGATTTGACTTTAAATCAAGACACAAATACAGAGGGATCCCTGAGTGTCTTCGTAATTTTTAAATTTAAGAAAAGTAAGGGGGTTTGTATTTTACTGATCGTTAAAAAATGAGTCTTGTTTGCATTTAATACTGTGGAGGGGGATCCCGGAAAGCCTGGCATAAAATATAGTAGTATATATTTTTCATATTAAGAGTTTTCAGAGAATTGCTTATAGACATACCGTAATTATGTTATTTCACTTAAAGTTATCCCGAAAATAGACATCCAAGCCATATATAATTTGATAGATACTTCCAGGTCACATTCATGGGTCACCTAGCAAATGTAAGTGACATTACATACATTCATTATTGATTTGAAAGTGTACTTGTGGAGAAATTCTCACAGCTGCTGTTGGTGAACAGTCTTGTCAGGATATGCTTTCGCATATTTAACAGAATTATCTTCTAAGAAAGTACAATAACATGCATTAGAAATATAATTTGATATTTCATCCCGCTGCACACCATTCCCGGTGACCTGAAAGTCGTTGCACTTCTGGTGTTTTCTTAAAATGTTTTGAACGTTTATTTTGATTTTGGCAAATGGGGCTCACCCCTTAAAAGTGCCACCGACAAGGACTGTGGATGACCAGCAATGTTTAAACAAAGTATAATCGACACAGCAGGACAAAGAATATGTTATGTGTCTTACATGTATAAAAGAAACTCTATCAGATTCTGATTTACAAGAAAATATTAATCATGTATGTACATTTATGACGGGTATGTGATGTGCGTGTTCATTTAAGACATTAAAAAAAGGGGGAGGGAAGAAATAGACTGCAAATGTGTGCAGTGCAGTACATGTATAACTATAATTTAAGTCGCTTATGAGTATTTAAAAAGCGGTATAATTGTCAATAGCTACATGTAAATCTGGTACAAAGAATTAATGTCACTAACAATTAATATTGTGATCGATTCTGAATGCAGGGAACTGTAAATAATAACCGGCGGGTGGTTAATCAAAATATTACATGTATTGCAATTGATTACTTCTTGTGTGTGTGTGTATATATATATATATATATATATATATATATATATATATATATATATATATATATATATATATATATATATATATATAATATAAAAATATTCTTATCCTTATTTTCATTTATAAAAATTAAATAGTGCAATAAGTTTACTTTAATAATTAAGTGTCGGACATTTTCGAGGAAAAAAAACCAAAATTATGAATCAGAAATGATAAGAGTAATATTTATTCATTATAGAAATGAAGGAAAATGACAATTTTAAACGTACATTTGGTGCACAGATCTGCCCCAAAAATAAGAATGATATCAACACATAACTGACGTGTACATGGCGCGTCCGCCAGACACTCGGTGATGAACTCTCTCTGCCTTGGCATTTCAGGAATTTCCCAGTTAGGATCGGGTCAAACGTTTGTATCTATAAATACGCAATATATTCATAATTTTCATAGAAAGAAGTATGGTCGAGTCTAAAATGAAATGATAATAAGCGTTTATGAAGGATGTCTTGAAAGGTTACCAACAAATCGTGCTTTAAAGTTGGTAAGGTGGCTGTCTTAAATTGCATGTTTCACAACCTTCAGAAAGGTTTTTCGATGTTTACCATTATGACATTTTTGGCATACGATTTGTTGTATATATATCACGACTATCAGTATACATGATCAATACGTGTAAATGGAATTAAACAATACTTTTCGTTAGTAAGTCTAATCTGAAAATTGGGTTATTGAACCGTTATTCCAAACCAGACTAAAACATGTCAAGCGGTTCAGCTAAATGGCAGTTTGGTGGAGCTCTCAAGACAATTTTGACCAGATATCCATTGCAGTGGAGTTGTACAGTTTTATACTTGAAGGAAAAATCTAGTTTATCTCTGTTCAGAACAGTACCAATATGAAGTCATATGCTTCATAGTGATAAAAGGTTAGTTTAATACATACTTCATAGTGAAAAAAAAGTTAGTTTAATACATACATGTATATAATTTGCATCTTATTCTAGTAAAGTTATGCATGAGGTACATATATCTCAGGCACATAGTATCTTTTTCGAAAGGGGGCAGGAAAAAAGTACTGAGTACTTGACAACTTACTTAAAAGTGTTTGACAAGAAAAAAGGAAAAATTGTAAATCCTATTTCTTAGTGGTGGGTTAGATTCCTCCCAAAATTTACTAATACTGTTCCATTGTACGATTTGACTGTACTGCAACAAAAAGTGTGTGGGTGGGGTTGGGGATGGCAACCAGCCTTTCAATAATACATTTTCAACGCTAAAAGGTCATGTTTGAAAAAAAGGGGTAGCCCCTCCCCTATACTTTCAACCCAATTATGGACTACTTGTCCTAATACATGTTTGCAACTTATGAAGCTTTCAGTGTTTGTTCTCAATTAATTCCAGTTGTCAGCATTCTATTTATTCAGAAATGTTTATACATAGCTAGGTCTTTTAATAATTTGAAATATGCCAAGACAATTTTTTTTCCTATTAATAATTACAAAAGAACGATTTTGGAAATGTAGTCCTTGAGTTCTTGTTTTAATTTTGGCTATGACAAGAAAAAAAGATCACTTTTCTTCATTTATAAAAAGAAAGGAATTCGAATTGAGACTGAAACAAGAGAAAAAGTTTTAATTCTGTAGGTTGTAAAAATAATAACCTCAGTGTTAGGTCATAAGCATTGTAATTGTTAAAATACCTACAAGAAAGGCATGTCTCAAGTATTCATGTACAAGAAAATGAATTCACTGAAAAAAATAATTTTGTAAGGTGTCGATCAAGTGTAAATATGATCATTGACTTGTTAATTACCGATCTGAAAATGGAGTCACACTGTTGAATGTAAGATAATTATCTGGACTTATATGGGAACATTTTAGTCGTGGTTATTATTTTACACATTTGTATCGCTTTTAATGAATATAAACACTTTGGTATGGCATACTTTGTAATTGAGACGTGTAATTACACGAACATAACACGCCTAAGATTGCTGGAGGTTTAAACCCCACTCCTCCTAAATAGAATTTCATATCTTCCTTTAGAATTTCTGCGACAAAGTGGGTAATGAAACGTGTTGCTATAATCATGTAAAACATTACATCGATATATAAAACTATATCGTAAAATGAGAGGATACGACATATATTTTTTATCTCTTGATGTAATCTGTACGGCTATTTTTCTGTGTGGAAATATATTGATGGACTGGCAAAAACAAGTGTAATTTGTATGTAAAATTTCTAATATTTTTTTTAATTTTAAACACGCATGATATGGTCTTATTTTTCTAATATAAAAACACGGCATTCCTCATTGTAAGCAGCTTTCATTTTGATTTGTTGAACATCTATCCAATCATTTTTTAAAATTGTTAATATGTTACATTCTTTTGCAGTTGACTATGTATGGTATACTTTAAGTACTATAACCTTGTCTTACAAATATACACCGTTTAATCCTGTTGGTCGGGTATTGTAACACATCTTGTAAGTTTTAGTGTCTGCGATAGTTCATACAGACGCTACAATAGGCAATAAATCTGTCACATTCTATGAAACATGTTCTTAAAAGACAAAACCTCCAGCAAATTCAAACTCCATAAATTACACTCAAATTATATACATTGTACCCAGCGACATATTTAAGATGTTAATACAACATGCATCATGAGGTTACATATACAGACAATATATGATTCTTATTCCCAGGTCGGTTTTATACTCTAAATCTTTAACTCCTTGGCGGTTACTTCAATAATATTTAAAAACATGGTATTTTCGCACATTCACTATCTGATTAACACTACCAATGCTATCTGATTGAAATAAAATTCGAAAATACTTCCGCTGGACATTTAACTGTCTAAATCTTATTTCGACAATTATAATTATGTTGCAACTAAAAGCATGTTTCCTTAGACGAACTTAACAGAGATAAAAGTGTAATATATCATCAAAATTGGCCCATTTTAAACTGTAATTATTTGCAGAAACAGATAATTTTACGCCTCTAGGAACAACTTGGACAGTAATTGCGGACAAGCGCGTGAAAAAATCCGCACACTTTTCTCACTCCGTTCTGCAACCGTATCCCCCGAGGGTGCATTCGATTCTCTTACAGTATCGTAAAAGTGTTAGTGCGTCATAACTGTCCCAAGAATTCACCATCTGTAAAAATATACATTCTATAAAGACAAATAAGTGTGTAAGATATTTTCAGTGCCGTTCTTGATTCTATATATAGTCTTGCGTAAGGATTTATGAATTCCAGATATTTATATGGATTTATCATAAGAAGACTTGTTTTGTCAGGTAGTAAAGTACACTTTACGATTATTTTTGTTTACTTTTTTATTTCAAAGTTCTATCGAAAATCAATTCTTCATAAAAGCTTCATGTCACTTGAAATAATTGGAAGAATTTGCTGTGTAATTGAAAAAGAAAATTAGTATCATTTCATAACAGAAAATGATTGGCAGGAAACATTTCTGTTTTGTCATTACATTGCAGTTACAAACAGAAAAACATGCCAAGAAATTGCAATTACTTTAAAGAACGCAAGGCGATCAAACGACTACTGGAAATTGATTAATTATGTAGTGTTACAAGAAATTGTCCACTCAGAGGCGTTGCTGACAATCGCTCGTTTATAGACTCTGTCACTTATCTTCACCAAAGTGCAAATTAAAATTGACAGGGACTGTTGCATAAAGACAATGTCTTACTAAATATTCTTCATATTCGCAGGGTGGTCTGCTAGAGATTTCAAGGGAAAGAGAAGGCAATGGCTATCCGTACAGTTGGTGCTGAAAGTTTTGTCGTTTCTTGTGTGGCGACGACATTGGGTATCGTTGTCACGGTAGCGTTTTTGACCTTCAATGTTTTTCATCGAAATAAAAGGTATGTACGCAAGACATGCTGTACGAATGCAAATAAAAATAATTTCATTTTTTAAAACTGCAGTCAATCATGAAATTTGCATTACAGTTTATTATTGAAATCTTAAGCTTTGTGGTTTAACCTCAAAGCTACAGGATTTTAATTAATGAATTCAATTTTGAATTTTTCAGGTTCATCAAAATGTCCAGTCCTCGACTTAACGTTCTTATAAGTGTGGGTGGGCTGTGTTTAAATTTTGTCTGTCTGATGTTTGGGATGGATTTCTTCTTGGCTGAGCGATATCCGGAGGCTACCGTTACGTGTCAGGTAGGACAGGCATTTGTAGAATATGTGTAAGCAACATCTATTATCATTTCCTGAATCCCATTAAGTGTTACATCATAATTAAGGCCCTGACATTTATTTTGTTTTTATTTCAGATCAGACTCTGGTTGGTTACTATAGGGGTTTCCTTGGTGTTTGGTCCTATGTTTGCCAAGTCATGGAGAGTTTTTCAGATTTTTCGCAATGCAGGAGTGAAAAGAGTGGTGAGTCCAAAATAATGATTGAAGAATAAATACTGAGATGCATTTTTATTTCTAAAAGAACTGTATAACTTAAACTTAACAGACTCGTATAAATTTTCAGCTACTGAGTATTTATTAAAGCCTTATACCTTTACTAAGATTTCATCACATGTGAAGCAATGCATGTCCTAAACGCTCACATAACTATCTTTAAACTAAATGCGTCTCCAGAATGGTTAAAACTGTTTTGTCTTTGAACAGTATAATTATTTCTCAAAATTCAATTCATCATTTCATTTGCAGGTGATAAAAGACAGTCGTCTATTTTTGATGTCCTCGATGTTTATCGCCGTTGATGTAGTTATTTTGACAATATGGCAGAGCTTGGATACTATGACATCAAGGGAAATCAAATACCTTATGATTGTAAGTTATTTAGGTAACTTTTCACCACATCATGCAATTGCAACTGGAATGCTGCAATTAATATGTATATAATTATATACATGTAAATACTATACATTTTTTGACTGAGTATTAGATCAAGATATCTAACAAACTTTTAAAGTTGATTTTTGCTTTGTTTCAGACTAATAGTGAAGATATACATAATGGGACACCAGGTTCCGAATACGTTTTGATTCAAGAGTGTTCTTCTAATGGAACTTCGGGATGGCTGGCATTTCTTCTGCTATGGAAGACAGGTTTGTTGGGATACGGATTATTTTTGGCGTGGCAGACGAGAAATGTGACGCTTCCAGCAATGAGGGACTCTCCCAGCATTATCATCAGCATTTTCTGTACACTTTTATTGTCTGCACCAACCTTCATGCTGACGTCACTATTACGTCACAGTCCAGACGGAATTTACATTACAGAAATTCTGATGATAACTATTTGCACAGTGGTGGTGCAAATTACAGTCTTTCTTCCCAAGGTAATAAATTAAGCGAGTTAAAGTAATATTTATTGTTAATCAAGAATTTCTTTTACCTTAGAAAAATCCTTTAAATATTTCAGTAATTACATGTAGTTTGATATCAATTTATTTTATATAGGTTCGATACTGGTGGAAATCTCCAATAGAAAAGCAGTCTAAATTGTCTGTCACAATGTATGATTTCAAACAGAAGGCATCAATATCTACAGACGACCTTGATATTTTCCAACTTCAGTCGGAGAATGACGTCTTAAAGGTCAACGTAAAAGAGGTCAGTGATATTTTGTAAATTCACATTTTCGGTGTTAATTTAAAACTGTTTCCCTATTATGTGCTCCCATATCCTCGGGACCATTTTCTTATCTAGAATTTATATGTGCACTACACGGGGAATGCTTTCATTTTCATTTGACATAAAACCCTGCTGTTTTTTTAGAATCTATTTATTTTTTTACGTAACACATTGAGCCCATATTGTGGCCTCAAATGGGTCTTTGGGCTTTTTTTTAATTCATTATATAGGTATTGACCTTTGGCCCAGGTGAATTAAAGATAATAATTATATCTTTTATATCTGAATTAAATACAATGTATGTCAAGTATTAAATTTCCCTTCCAGAAAATGGTCCAGATTAGAGACCTTGAACGAAAAGTCAGTCATCTAACGGGAAGGATTTCAGCCTTACTAGATGACGACGATCGTCGAGACAGTGGATTGGATGTCGACCTCGGTATATCAGAAGTTAAAGATGAAACTGTTACCATGGATACTTATTTAGCAACAAATCCTAGTTCCAGGAAGTCTATGGAAAATTTAACTCCCTCAGATACCTCAGCGCCAAATAACACGAGCACCCCGCATGACGAATCGTTCGACCGAACTCAGTCGGACACTTCCAATATGAAATCATATAAAGCCAAAAAGTATAAAAGAAAACATAAAAAGATCCTGACATCCACACCGGATATATACAAACAAAGTGAAAAAAGTGACACTAAGTGTCGGTCAGATGACTTCTTTGATATGGAACATTCGAACGCGCGCTTTAGGTCTCGGTGTTGGACATTTTCATCAATGCGGTCACGACAGGACATTGTAGGGTCAGTGACTAAGTGTTATGATTTAGAGGACAATGACGACACATTTTCATACGTCAGTAATTATTTACCACCCCCTCCCCCTTCTGAACAGATCGAATTTTCTCTAAGAAACAACTCACTTTGTGCAGTTACAGACAATACCGTCCTAAGTAATGACATGCTTTATCCTGTATCAAATTGTGATTCCTCCAATTTGTCTTCTAAGAAGGAATCGGAGATAAATGGAAATAGTATTAAACATGTAAATGGAAATTGTATTACTCCCGGGAAAACTTGTTATGTTTAGATTATACATTGTGTAATAATTTTTTTAAAAAAATTTAATAAACATAACTGTATTTTATAAAATGTTGTTGATTGAAAATTGTTCTGAGTTTAATTTGCTGTAATTTTAATTGGAAGGTTAATCAGTGAAAAGAATGACTACTCTGGCAAATCTCATTGTAATGTACACAAGCTTATTAATAGAAGTAAGGACAAAATGAAGAATGAAAAAGTTCAAAGTGAAATGTAATAAAGACGAATATGAAAACAATAAAGTGACATATAGTCAAATAATAACAAAGAATAAAAGAAGTATGCAGAATAAGAATAAAAGCAAGATAAATAGACTTTTGGCGGTAATTCCCTTCCATAACCAAGGCCGACAATCGATTCAACTGTGAAGCAATCTACAGTCACTATAATTGTAAAACATACAGTACAATTATAACAAGCATTCTGAGAGTATTGCATTAGCAATACTAGTCCCCTACCGGCAAGTGTAATCTGGTTCCCGTTAAAAATTGAAATTGCCATAATTCCTTCAAAAACCAATGAAGTGAAACGAAATGCAAAGTTGATCTATAACTCATCAAATTAAAGTCACATACCAAAAAATCAGCCCAATATATGCAAGCGTTTAGGAAAAACTTACGGAAAACCCTGAAAATTTGAAATGGTCGTAATTCCATCAAAAATCATTGAAGCGGAACGAAATGCAAACTTGATCTGTAACTCATCAAGATACACTCACATACCAAAAATCAGCTCAATATCTGCAAGCGTTTAGAAAAAAAGTGTGGAAAACCAAGTGGGACAGACTGACAGACAGCTAGGCAGACGGACAGACAGCTAGACAGACGGACGGACAGACTCAGAGGAAACCTATAGTCCCCTTCGGTTTCACCAGTAGGGGACTAATAAGATATGAAATTGACTGATTAACATACATGTACAGTATACATCAGACCATATGTATATATACAGTTATGAATGTATATAAAAGAAAATCAGAAAAGCAGATCTTATTTCTTTTATCATGTACATCAACTAAAGTATGCTTTGTAAAAAAAAAAAGGAATTTTTTTTATAACATACACACATGAATTAAATTTTTACAGTGAATAGTCATATCAAAAGAAAAATTCAGTTTTTCTTTTGACTGAAAATTCTAAAGAAAAGAAATATTTTTAAAGTTTCTTTAAGTTTTTATGATCAATTACTGTCATATCAGTATTCATTCAAAAAAGATATTGCATGTCCCTTGCAATTATTAGATCTAAGTAATAACAGCAAAGTACGTCCGTCATTTAGTTCAATGATGAATCACAAAGAAAATCTTTTAAAAAGTTATTTACAAATCATATTTTAAGAGGTAAAATGGTGATCGGAAAGTACTCTATCAATATGGCAAACCTTTGATATTAAAACTTAAAAAAAACTTTCAGAAACTTCTACTTGAAAAGAAAACTCGTGCTGTGGCCTTCAACTCGACATTGAGATATATCGACGACGTTTTATCAATTAACAATAGTTACTTTCATTAATGTGTCGACTTGATACATCCCACTGAACTCGAAATTTAAGACACTACAGAATCTGCCACATCTGTTTCATATTTTGATGTTTTACTGATTATAGACGATAATGGCCAACTAAAAACTAAACTGTACGACACACGGGATAACTTCAGCTTTTTCATCGTCAACTTCCCTTATTTATGTGGTAATATTCCAACATTTTGCATATGGTGTTTATGTCTTAGCTGATGCGATACTCAAGAGCTTGCTCTGAGTACAATCTATTTTAAGTCGAGGCAAGCTACTGACAAATAAATTGATGATACAAGGATTTCAACAACCCCGTTTAGTGTCAGCTTTTCGCAAATTCTACGGTCGTTATAACGACCTTCTTTGTAAATACAACCTAGCGTTGTAATTTGTCTGACATGTTTAATACTATTTGTTAGGTCATTGCTTTTATACTAAATTTGACTACGGAGTACTTCGTATACCTGATCAATACATAAGACTAACAGTGTGACCGGTCATCAGGGGATGCTTACTCCTCCTAGGCACTTGATCCCACCTCTGGTGTTTCCAGAGTTCTTGCTTTTGCCCTGCTCACGATTCGTTTTGTTAACTGGATTTATGATCACAGTTCGTTCCCTTCACATTTTACAACACACACGCATTCTGATGCTATAACTTGTGTCATATAGTTGACAGGTAGTTATATAGTTTACATGCCGTTGCTAATGGTCAAAAACATGAGCATTGAAAATTCATAAAACGTATTTGCGTTTGAATTGATATTGATAATAATTCCAAAAATCCACTAAATCAAAATCGTTTGTTTGTTTCTTTGTTTAACGTCCCTTTGATAATTTTTCACTCATATTGGGACGCCACCACTTGCCGGTGGAGGGCTGCAAATTTACACCCTGTTCACATGGAGAGTTTAATTCGAATTAAACGTAAGTTACTGCAAATCAAATTTGATCCGCGTTCACAGTGACATGGAGAATTTAATGCGAATTAGTTTAATTCGAATTTGTTTACTGCGCATTAAATTACTTCGCATTAGCTCCATGTGAACGCTAAGCGAAGCTAATTCGAATTAAATTTTGACGCATGCGTAAGGGCAGAATTAAGTCACAGGCCACATGACGATGGTCAAATATAGGTACTTGTGCTATTTTTGAGTGGAAAACAAAGGAAAATTATGTTAATCATTAAAATGTGTACAGACACTATGACATTATGTCAAATGTAGGCCCTATATTTGCTCTGCACAATAAGACGTGATTTGTAAATGACATCATAAAGCCTTACTGATTATTGTAGAAATAAAATTATAATTCGCATTAGTTTACTTCGCATTAGCTGTTGCGTGAACGCAATTTAATTCGCATTGGTTTAATTTGCATCATTTTACTTCGCATTAATTTACTGCGAATTAAACTCTCCGTGTGAACAGGGGCCCGTTTTACAAAAGAACTTACGACTAAGACCAAAATTTAATTCTGCTAATAACTTTCTCATTTACATTGAACAGAAAATGGTTTTAATATTTTTTGAAAAGGTATGCAGAAAGAGACTTTTACTTCAGCAGTTTTAAACAGAATAATTAATTTTGCAAAATTTTACAATCAACTGAAGTTTTTGGTCGTAGTCGTAAGTTCTTATGTAAAACGGGCACATGGCATTAGACCTGTATCGACACTTACGGCATTTGAGCAGTGAGGGATCTTTTTGTGCCAGCACCTAGTGCGACACGGGACCTCAGTCTATTCGAAAGACCGGTCTCCACGGCCCGCAGTGGGATTCGAACCCGCAACTTAAGGATCAACTCCATACTCAGCGACTCTAGAGCAAACGCTCTAACCACTGCTCCGAGAAATCAAGATTGAATGTTCATCATACTTATGTGAACTTAAATATTTAAAAAAAAATTTTGAATTTTATATTCTTCTTTTCACTCTATGACTGAATTAATATCGGTATTTATAGGTCTTGAAATCACAAATCAAAAAGAACGATAAACAATAAGATAGCTATAAGTTTAAATTTTGAAATTTTCTTGAATAATGACCGAGTACTCGAATACTCGATCGAAAAGGCAGAAGATAAGATTATCGATTTTACAACCATTTTTAAAATACAAATATATTGTTCATTTAATTTAGCGAAAACTCCTGATATCTGCTTTGTTCAAAGACGCTTTAAATAATGTGCTAGTCAGCTAAGCAATGAATTTAAAAGACATCCCCCCACCCCCACCCTGCCTAACACAATCAGGGTGAGAACTTTTATCGATTTTCACTTAATGAAGCTTTTCCAAGAATGAACTTCGCCAGTTACCTTTAAAAAATACTAAAAATACTCTACGGTGTATAGAGTAATGGCAAGCAGGTTCAAAATAGTTCAATAACATGTACCCGATGAAAATTATTTAAAATATCATGACATGTATGTGAACACTTTTTGATTTATTCTTTGTCTTTTGTTCTAATTCAGACAAAACAAAATGAATAAAAATTCATATTTAGTCAAGTCAATTTTATTATTAACAATGAAATCGAAAATAAAAATAGACGTGGTTAGGATTTCTTCCTCAGTGTATGACATAGGGGGCGGCTCGTCTTCCCTGGTGTGAACGACAATCCGCTAGTGTCAAATTGTGAAGTCCGGGAGTTTGACACATAGCCAATGTGAATTTACAACTGAAATAAAATAAATTAGTTTAATAATCTGGAAAAACAAAAACTGATATTCCTTCCATTTCAAATTAAGCTTAGTCAGACATTTACTCTCGGTGAATGTTAAGAATTATTCTGATCAAAACTATGATGTCACTGTCAAGATTCAACTCTCTAATTTTACTTTAGTGTTCAGCACAAAAAGCAAAATAATAAAATCTTTAACCCAATATTCATATTACTAAAATAAAGCTATTCCATACGGAAAAAAACAAAACAAAACAAAATGCATATAGATTATTGAAATTGTCCTATAAATGTTGGCCTCAACTGACCTCAGTGATAACTGGGGTCACTGCTTATGTACATGAATAATACCGGTAGTACAGAGAGAGACTGTAACCTTTTACAAGTTTCAAGTATTAATAAATTTTGCTTCAAAATTTGTAAGTTCAATAGTTCAAAAATTGAAAATGCATATGTATTTTGAAATTTCAAAAGTTAGTTTAAATATATATATATATATATATATATATATATATATATATATATATATATATATATATATATATATATATATATATATATATATATATATATATATATAAACTACCTTTTCAAAACATATAAAAATATGTTTTTATAGATAAGCACCAAATTTTCACTTTTAGGATCTAACTTAATAAAAATTTAACGGGAAATATACAAGTTTCAAATGTTCAAAACCAATTTTGTTTTAATGTAAAAAGATTTAATCTTGGATAGAACAGAAATTCCCTCAACAATTTAATAATATTCAATGCAAATTTTCGTCTTTCATTGAAATATATTTCAAAATTTTCAATATTCAACGTGGTTACATTTTTAAAAATTTAGAATATTAATTCAATTATTAAATTATTTAAAATAGTATAATTATACGTTTTGTCTGAAATAAAATCTAGCATAGGGCTATATATGGTTCTTCAATGCCTAAAGCTCTATTGTTTCATTAAATGTATGATATTTTGTGTCGCCTGTTCAGTATGGCAAATAAATAGGGAACACTTTGTCCGGCATCTCATTCTAGCTGTTTGTCATATCTACACAAACACAAGACTAGAACTTTTCTGAGAGCTTACCTAAATATCAAAATGAGATTAAACAAAACAAAACATGGAGTTTTAATGGCGAGTTCAAATCCCCCCCCCCCCCCCCCCAAATGCTCTGATTGATTACATGTTGCAATGGTAGATTAAATAATCAAATTCATCGGAATTGCTCATCAGCAAAGGTTACCGTGTGACAAGACACGTGGAAATTCCCCAGAGAATTGCATTTTTGTGGCTATCATGATGAACATGAGTGACTTAATTAATAAGTCATGAAGATAATAAGTTGTATAATCAAGCAAATAAATCGTGTGAACAACATAATATCTCGTGCGTTCTACGGAAGTCAAGAAAATAAGTCCGTGTGAACAACGTGCATTGTATCGTGCAAACGACACATCAAATAACTCATGGACGGCATTTAAACTTATTACATTTATAAAATACTATTATAAGAAAATCATGCTTAAAATCTTAATTCCTCTATTTTAAATATCCGATGTTACATGTACATGTAATGTGGCTTAACAGCAGGCATACTTGCACTACTTAAACACCATAGTAAAATGACGATGGATTTCGGGTATTCATGCTGCATTTTGCGTTATAAAAAATAATACTTGCTGACGGTAAATAATGAGTGGATATTAAATCATCAGTGTGCCATAAAATACCTGGATATTTGGATGCCCGATTTGACACCGATGTTACAATAATTAGAAAAAGCGAGTTTTGAAGACTTTGTTAAATTCTCAAGCAAAACAAAACAAAACAAAGCAAATCAGACAAACAAACAAAAACCAAAAATACAGTTAGAAATGAAATAAAGCTTGAATACTGTTCGTTATCTCCATATTTCATAAACAAAAGTAACCAAGTAAACAACATACATAAACAAACAAACAAGAGGCCCATGGACCACATCGCTCACCTGAGCATTTTGGCTATGAAAAACCAGACATTAGTTCAGTATTGAAAAGTTTAAATATAAAAGTGATTCCGGAGGTGGGGGTGGGGGTATGATTTGAACAAACTTGAATTTACACCACCTAAGGAAGCTTTTGAATTAATATGACTAATAGATGGCTTTGTTGTTCTTAGGAAGAATTTTTGATTGATATATCCTTTATATTCCTTTGTATAACTTGTTTGTTGTTTTGAACATATTTTGACAATATGTCAAAGGGATTGGACACAAGCTCTAAAAACTTAGAAAGTCCTCTCCCAACTCTTTGTATAACTATGATCCCCTGATATGACCCCTCTATAATCCTCGGGTGTCATGATTTGAATCTACATTACTTGAGTGTGCTTTTATTTTATCATGAACAATCACGGCTTTGCTATTTTTTGAGAATAAGATTTTTAAAGATTTTTCCTATGTATTCCTGCGTAAAACTTTGATCATTCAATGTGGCCCACCCTAACTCTGGAGGTCATGATTTGAACAAACTTGATTCTACACTACTGAGTATGCCTCCACATGAATATAGCTAATCATGGTATTGCTGTTCTTGAGAAGATGTTTAAAGATTTTCCCTATGTATTCCTATGCAAAACTAAGTAAATCGCCCATTGTTGCTCCATCCTCCCCTCGGGGGTCATGATTAGAACAAACTTGTATCTACACTGCCTGACGATGATTCCACATATGTTTCATATTTTCTAGCACAGTGGTTCTTGAGAAGAAGATTTTTAAATGATACCATTAATTTTTCACGAATTCGTAATTATCTCCCGTTGGAAGAAGGCGTGGCCCTTCATTTGAACAAACTTGAATACCCTTAACTCAAGGATACTTTAAAGCAATTTTGGTTGACATTGGCCCAGAAAATGTGAAAAGTTTACAACGACGACGACAGACAAGGGACAAATTTCGTTCAGAAAAGCTAACTTGAGCCTTCGGCTCAGGTGAGCTAAAAACAAATCAAACAAAAAAAAATGTAAAACCCGTTTGATTAATTCAAATATAAAAGTTTGAATTACATTTTCCAAAGCTTCTCTAAAATCTAAATCTATGAATGAAGTGAATTTAAGTATATTTAAATTTTAAATGTACTAAATTAAAATTAGAATAGTATTCGTGTTAATGCATATAATCAGAAAATGTAATGTATAGATTTATCTTTAATTGCTTTCTCAACACATACACCTTTAACGTAAGAAATGGAATAATATGAAATGTTCTGACTACCGGTAGTCAAAAACTCGTGAAATATGTATCAGTTCCCTAAACATTAATGTATAAGTCAGTTTTTTCTCAAAACTCAAAATCAAATTTACTTTTCCCAAAAGGAAAATGCTTAACTTCATTTCAAAAAACAATGTATTGCACATACAAAAATTTATTACATTTTATACATCATGAAGAAGTATACATATTTTTATCTCAAGTTAGAGTAAACTTTAAAAAAAAATCTTTAGAACGTTACATGGTGTGAAAAAGCTGCATTGCAAAGTTGTCAGTTATGAATGGTTCAACTAGAAGCCTCGGATGGAATAAAAAGAACACTGGTGACTGTTGACGTTTGGGTATTTCTTTTCAAATTAATTTTTAGACTACAGACGCACAAGATCAGAATTTAAAACGGTTTTTTGACATCTAAAAGCTAGTCTAGTAAAAGTTTAAAAGAGAGTATTTTATCGTTAAATTATAATTTTAGATAATAATAATACAAATAGTAAAAATCAAAATAAAGTTTGACATTTTCTTTCCCATTTTTTGAATATACTTCAATTTTTATTTACAATACCCAATTTTCTAAAGCTACTACTTACCACGTATTTAGAAATCAGCAATTATTCTTGTTAATTGGATTTATTATTTAAATTTTAAATCACGTTCATTGATGAAAACAACACCCACCTGTTTTGATAAAGTTTAAAATCACTACCGCAGATGAGGCTGATTTCATTGGTGCACGTGATAAGGTTGGCGTTAGCACATACAAGCTGCATTTCAAAGGACCTAGTTGTCGTTGTGGTTCCTTGTGTGGTGACACTGGTTGCTGGGGCGGTAGTCACAGGGACAGTAGTTACTGGTACGGTAGTTGGGGGACCTGAGTGGACGTGACAATGCCCGACTTGCTTAATGTCTATGCTAGGATCCACACATCGAGCTTTGCCAAACTGACAACTACGATAATTAAGTTATAAAATCAACATATAAATTATTGTATGAGTAAAGTGCGTTTAATAAAAATAAAAACATTTATTCCAAGATTTCGATGTTTTTATGCTCTGTACATAGATACATAATAAAGCCACTCATAGAACGAAGGAATCTGCACTACTATAGTAAACTGAATTGCTCGCACACTGATTATTTATTTGATATGTAAAATATGTATGTAATTTATTTGAGGCATAGTTTTCTCAGTCTGCAAGGCATCAGGTAATCCTGTTGATATATGCAAGCATCTACATATGGTACAGATTTATGTTCAATTCATAATGCCTCTCAAGTCACGATGAGAACACAGTGTATTCACACTCAGAACTTCTCCAATGCAAGTCCTATAACTCCTTTATCATACCCTCGGTATGATATACATTGTGTTTCCGATTTAAAAATAAAATAACTCCCATACTGAGATGTTTCTTAAGGACAGATGATACAAACTTTTTAAAAAAAAAAATGAAAATAACTACTTGAGTCCTGTTTATATAAGTGAAATGAACAATTTTAACCGCAAAAACAACAGTGGGATTTGAAGTGACAACAATTTGTATAGATTAATAAGGATGGTTCCAGAAAGGTAGAATTTTGAACATCATAGAAGGTTTACAATTTCTAAATATTTCAGAAATTTATCATTTGCATCATATACAACAAAAAATAGGACCAAAAATATATACCAATCCAGGTATCCATATTTTTGTTGTATCATCTGTCCTTAAATATTTTAAAATATATCAGTAAAAATTTTGAAATATCAGCATCATGGCCGTAGGAACCGGGGGGGGGGGCACGGGGGGGGCCGTGCCCCCCCCCCCAATAATTTTGCCGATATATAGATTACTATAGTAAACATAGATGCTATAAGCATGTGCCCCCTCAATAAAACCGCCTGATGACCTTTTTTTTTTGTTTTTTTTTTTTTTTTTTTTTGTTTTTTTTTTTTTTGCTTGTCAAGGAATATTTGGTAGTTGACGACCTTTTTTTTTTTTGCTTGTCAGAAAATTTTTGGTAGTGCCCCCTCAACTGTCAACTGAAAAATGTTTGGCTGTGCCCCCCCCCCCCCCCCCAAACTGAAATTGCTTCCTACGGGCCTTAGCATCTGTCATTACAGGAACACTATAATAATGGAATTTAATTTTCTTATTGAGGAGGATTTTAATAAGTCTTATAGGCACTACAAGGGTTGTTCGAAAATTACTGAGACATTTTGTTCATTTTCCTTTCTAATGAACGTATTTTGGTGAAAATTGGCATATACGCTTAATCATCACTAACAATAAATAAAAGCAAGAAATATTTCAAAAATATTTTCTCTTCTGTATGGTATTTCAATGAGTCCTTCTGAACATCATTTATCAAAACCATAATATAAATGAGAAGAAGAAGGCACTTCCATCATAAAGTTTAGTTGTTAGGTTACCATTAACGTCTTTTTCTAGTAAAATATGAAACAGAGGTGTCAGACTCTGTCAAGTTCACTGGGATGTATCGAGTCGACATATGAATGGAAGAGACAATTGTTTATTGATAATACGTCGTCGATATTTCGCAAATTCTATGGCCGATACAATGGCTTTGTCAGCAAATACAATTTATCTTTAAGTCGAACGCTGACTGACGTTTTATACGAATTGTTAAACCAGTATTTAAACATTGAATTGTCTACGGATTTTTCCTGTTGTCCGATCATGACGATAACCACACGGCAGGTGTGACCGGTCGAGGGATGCTTACTTCTCCATGGCACCTGATCCCACCACTGATGTTTTTAGAGGTCCGTGTTTGCTCTGCTTTGATTTGTATTGTTTCAGTGGACTTTTGAGCTTGATTACTGTTCGTTATCTCAATATTTCATCTATAAATTTAATTTTGAACGAAAATAGACATCTTTTTTCTGATTTTTTACTCCATTTAGTGGTGGGTTTGATATTGAACGGTCATATTCGAAATTTTTCGTATAATGCAAATAATAAAGATATTATAAAGATATTAAACCCTGAAATCAACTTACCGTGCACAAAAATAATTTACAGATACTCGTATTTGAATAACAGCCATTTCATTCCTACATCAATATTTAGATGGAACCAGGAACTATCCGTCCTATTAGAATCTGATATTTGTGATCAAGATGTTTTTAAAGTCTGTTTTAGAACAAGTTTCGATTCAATATTTCTCTGCATTGGTAAAAATATAGAATCTTTCCAGTGAATCACTATTTGAAGTAAATTAATGTTTTATCTAATGACCACTGTACATTTTTTTAAACAGGAGATAGAAACAATACAAGAAGTGTTTATGAATTGTACAAAAATCCCTTCATTGTGCAGTAATCTTAGTATGCAGATATTTTTGAATTATATAAAAATCCCTTCATTGTGCAGTAATCTTAGTATGCAGATATTTTTGAATTATATAAAAATCCCTTCATTGTGCAGTAATCTTAGTATGCAGATATTTTTGAATCGTACAAAAATCCCTTCATTGTGCAGTAATCTTAGTATGCAGATATTTACCATACAAAAAATTTAAGAGTTGGGTCTAACACATAATATTTTTTTGATGAAACTCCATATCTTATTACAATATAGTGGTAAATTTTATTACTTAGTATGTAATATACAAAGCATTATACTTTTTTTGTTTGAAATAGAACAAAATACCTTTGATAACTGGGTTGCTACATAAATGGCATATCAATTCAAAAATCGAACATGAACAATTTTGTGAACTTATGTTCACCATGGGTAAATATTTTTACCTAGATTTTTGTATTTTTAAAGTTATTTATTCTATAAACTCGTAGATACTTTTAAACTAAATTGTCTTTACTAGGGAACACTTCAAATATTAGTGTAACATTATAAATTTGAGAGAGAGAGAGATCAATGTGGCAAAGTTGAGTATTTTAACCTTCCTGTTACTCTGTCTCCACCAGCCGGAGGAGTATTTGGTTGTAGGCATGGTTGTCTGTTTATCTGTGTACCTGTCCGTCTAGCTGTCTGCCTGTCACAAAATGGCACCCGGGCTAAAACTCATGAATCTTCGTTTGAAATATTTTGACTAAATGTATGCTTGATTAAGTGTCATTTCTTAAAAGCAAAGACTATGTTGTCGAGATCATACGACCTTGGATGTAGGTAGCAAAGGGAATAATCCGTTTGGGTAAAATTTATATTTATTATTATTACTTATTTATTAGCATTTTTCATTAACTTAAACATGTACAATTAAATAATGTCGTTAGAACTGGAGAGTTGGAGGACTTTATATGGGAGTGGTTACCTGACAATACATGTAAAAATACATAACTGATATGCATATACTTTTTCTTGCGTGATTTAAGACATATATTTCATACAAAATTAAATTTATCTTCCATTACCATTCCTATCACAAAAGCCATTTAAGTTTTTTGTATTCCATCAGCTTTTTAATATAAGGTGGAATGATAATTGACAAAATCATATACAGCTTGATATTTAATTGCTAAAAAAAAGTCAGCGAGTGTGACTTATTGCAATACTCTGGTAAAATCGTGGATATTTAAGTAAGACTGGAACAAAAAGTAAACTTCGAATAAAATACGTACTAGTTGTCATAATGAACTCCGTTAGTGCCACATACAGACTCATCATTCTCTAGAGGTGTGTAATTGTTACAGTCTAGACCTAGCAGTTGCTTACATATTGCTTGTGGGTCGATACTTCCGGCGGAAATTAAAAACAGACCTTAAAAACAGAAAATGTTTTGTTAAATGCCAAAAATTGTGACTTGTACAAAGGTCATTATACAATAGATAGAGTACCCATGGTGCAACAGTATAATTAAAGTAATGAAAAGATAAACCTAATAGTTATATGATATTCACTTAAACAATATGTTCCTGTGAAGTTAATCGTTAAAGTACAGAATTATTGAGTCTTCAAAAATAAAAATGATATAATCTGCAAGAAAAAAAAACCTTTAAAAATTCTGAAATTATGTTTGAATATTCCAAACATTTAGCAAATGAGACATATGGTGCTATAAAACTGTAATAAAACAACATTAAAATGTATTTTTGAGGAATCTAAAAGGTACATAACTTAGTTATGAGATAGAGTATCCAGAAAATTAAACATACCCAATATAAACCCAGATATCTTGAAGAACATTGTGTGTGACAATAAGCGTTATCTTATCTGTGGACGAGTGAGCGTTTGACGAAATTCTAGTCGTTATATAAGGAATAACATCACGACACGATAACACAGTCAGTCTTCAAAGATATGTCTAAAAGAAATTGAAAGACAATTGCCTAATAACCCTAACCCTGTTTAAAGCAGGTTAAAGGTTCGAGTCTTTTGGACAAAACAAATGGCTGCCCGATGCAGTACTTGACAGCCAGTGAAAGCGTTATTAATATAATCGTATCTGTTAACTAGACATGGTAGCCATACAGTTCTAATTATTATTAGACTAATTAATTTATATCTAGGGTTTTTTTTTATATTAAAAATTGATTTTTAAGACATTACTTCGAAGCAGAGACGTATAGTTTATATCTATAAGGTTCCATCACACCGGGTCCTTGATAGTAGTTCTGCGATATATCAAATATTGCTAACAATTTGAATAATTAAGTTGTATATATATTTATTGAATTTTAGAATAAACTATAATAAAAACTGGTTTATTCATAGGTCATTTTGAAATGAGTTTGTAATACTTTCAACTTCGATTACATCTTCAACAGGAATTGGACCACTTAATTGACGAGTTTCTTCCTCGCCACAGATCAGTTGTAACAAGTGTATCATCTGATGAGGAAGACAGCGATTTAGAAACAGACGATTTGGTTCCTAGTATTCATGTATGTAACGAGAAACTCAGAGAAAAAGATGACATGTTTAATCGAAACTATTACACTGAAAACAATGCTTAAACAGAGTTTTCCAGAGGAACAGGATATAGAAACCTTTTCCTCTTTTTCTGCATGTCACAATCAAAAGAGTTTGGTCTTCCTCAACCCAATGTAAAGAACCAAGGGAATCATTGTGTGTTTTGCAATCAGCAGCTGGATTACAGCAGCAAGCTTTTACGAAACATTTGTCAATGCTGGAAAAAGAGCATCGGGCACTACATAATTATACTTTGATAAAATATAAACTTTCTAATTTTTTTTTTGTTCATTATCTATTGCTTTTGATGTAAATCGTCAACTGCAGGTCTATAATAACGCTAAGGCTAGGAGTGCCTAGAATAACTTTTAATTTGAAGCCCTTCACCGGTATATGCTCTCTGTAATATTAGCGAAAAATTCTCGAATGGGACGTAAAAGAATATAGGGTCAACCAATCAATCAATCTAAGTACAAAAGGGGCGTAATTCACTGAAAAAATTTCCCGCAAACATGCACATTGACACCTTATATCATAATTAACTTAAAACTTACATGTATCAAAGTTTCACGAAGTTCGTGATCGATTTCAGAGGAGTTGCGATGACAAGAACGGGACTGATGGGCTGACTTCGACTGACTGACAGACAGGTCAAAACTTTTTATTTTTCCTTGGATTGAAATGTCGCACATTCAATGGTTTAAATGCGACACGTGACTGACGGCCATATTTCTGTGTCCGGCAAATGAGAATTAATATCTGGAAATATGGCGGCACCTTGCCTTTATATTTATTACCGAAACCACTTTCCATAATGTTTTCTTTTTGAAATTAGAGTTAGCTCCGCCCCCGGCGTCTATGAGATTAATTCTGTAGACAGCCACTATTAAACCTTATAAGTAATAATACCCTCCACAACTCGTTGTGTGGGGTAAAAAACAAACTTTTGTCGGTAGGTTGTATAACTTTGTTTCATACAAACGTATATGTAATACTAGTATTGACAATTGGATTTCGTGCTGATGTAAGTATGAATAGGGAAGGGTAAATACCTGTACCCGATTTATTTAATTTTTGTCACATATATGTATTCACTTTTATTCATGATCCTTTCTATTTCACATTCCATAAGAATAGTTATATACAAAACAATTAACATACACTGTTTTAATGTTAGGATTAAAAATAAAATCAGTTTGAAAATCACTAGCGTTAAGCAAAATTTTATATGAGTGAACTCTGAGCCAAGGAATCTTAACAGTTATAGAATACCGTTAAGTGTAATTGTATGCAGTTAGATATGCAACAGGTAAGAAAACTCATTAATTTTTATTCTGTATAGAAGCTAATGAACGATGGATACGAAGCCAAAGTTAATTAAACAACTTGGAAGCAGAACGGTGTGAGACCATGACGGGTTGCTTTGATTGTAATTGGTTGCATCACTCACTATTCTACCCAAATACTGTTTTATCAAAATGTTTACTTGTCGAGCCATTCACTGTACATGTACATTGTTCCTCTAAACAAATCCTAGATGTAAGATCCATAAGAAATAGTTTTTTTTCAAAAAGCTTACCGTCTTTAGCAACAACCTTAAACAGTAAACTGACCTAAACTTATCAGGCTGTATAATTCTAAAAATTTCTTGGCTTTGTATTTCTTCATTAGTTTTTTCTGACATTAGCCCTACCAAGTGAAAGGTTAACAGATGCTCGGCTGTCTCCGTAGACTTCGACTCTGCTGCCGAGATCATTCGGCAAACCTCGGCTGACTCCGTCTAGATGAGGTGTAAATCGGCCGAGAAGTGCTGACTGCTGCAGAAATTAGAAAGACAGTGCAAAACAAAGGGGAAAAGAATACATACAAGCTCTAAACCTTGCATGCAATAAAGATCAATTCTGTTAACAATGAAATAATAGAAACTTTTTTTTGGGGGGGGGGGGGGGGTAATTGCTATAAAAAAAAACTAGCATGTTATTTCGAATTAATTACTGCCAATTTCCACTGTTCGTTTTGTCATATTTTTTTTACGATTGGAAATCTTGAAAAATTGTTAATTCGTACGAAAATTAGGTCATCAAAATCATCTCCCTTGCCTTGAACAGCATTTCAAACAATGAAAAAATTGAAAATTTTCTCATCATGCAATTTCTACAAATCACAAAAAGAGGAAGTGCATAATCCGAAGAGTGTAAAATACTTCAACTCTGTATACCGTCTTCCAAGGAAGACGGTAATGATACGCAAAACGTACAGAAAATCAAATTATCGAACGGTATATATAAACATATAAGTGAACCAGGTATGCTTAACTTTAGTTTGTTAAACGATGGCAGAATGGTATAACGTCACAAATAATACCACGGATTTTCCCAAACCATTACTAACCGATGCTTATTTAATTCCACTTGGAGTGATTCTAGTGATTGAAAATATAATTGCTGTCTTTATTTTATATCGCTGTACTCGACTTAATTTTCAGATAAAGATACTGTCTATCAATATGGCAGTTACAGACCTTCTAACAGGATTCATGCTGAGTACTCCTTTGGATTTTCTACAAGTTGGCAAGGACAGTTGTGAACTTAAAAAGTATTTATCGTTTTTATTTATAAACACATCCTTCTTCACAATCACGATGTTTAATTTGGACCGTTGTTTTGTTTTTTGCCTTGCAATGCGGTACTATTCGTACATTACAAAAACTTTAATAGTGAAATCATGTGTTTTCATGTGGATAGCAAGTTTAATCACGACTTACACCATGTTTTACGATGCATATCATTTATATGGAATTTGCTGTGGCTTTATGTACACGCTAGAGAAAAATATTGTAAACAATACTGCCAAATCTTTTCTTTTACTTCTGGTTCTGTCTAATTTGATCATGTATGGTTATCTGCTCCTGCACATAAAAAGGCATTTCAAAAGGACTTTTGATTATGCAAATTCTTTGAACTCTAAGATGATAAATAACCAATCAAATGTGGCAAAGAAATTATCTGTGATCACCGGTGTCTTCCTAGCAATGTTTACACCTTTTCTTTTGACAATAACATTTCCAATTTTGGATTATTCTAAAACTTATGGAAAGCTTGTACACAGCTTGACAGGCGTTTTGATGGTGTTGAACAGTGCCGTAAATCCCATATTTTATGTGTGGAGATTCAAGGAACCTAGGTATCGATTAAAGAGGTTGTTTTGCGTCTTTCACGAAAAATATCTTGAAAAACTGCAACAAGAGTACAACAAGGACATCGCTCCCTACTACATAGGCACAAGAAGGAAAAAAATTACCACGAACAAAGTCACGATTTCGTTGGACCAGAAAATAGAACATTCATAAGATAAAAATAAGATTTACTAGTGATATAATTTTTAAACATAGCTGTCAACATACAAAATATTGTAAACTGATTTGTTCACATTGCTTGTAACTACTAATTAATGCTTCACGTCCTTTGACGTTCATCACGAAAATTAAATTCTTACTTAAGTTTCTTGAACTAAAATGCAAAATAAATAAGAATAATGTTAAAATGAAAATTATAACTCTTCCGGTCTACTGTTGATAGCATTCCTATTATCTAGAAAGAGACAATGAATTATTTTCTTTTATCTTCCGAATTTTGGGAAAAGGCTTAACTCAGACATATAATCGATAGTTATACTGCAACAATTAAGAACTGTGTATGTATGGTTCATTTTATACTTTTGTACTCTGGACAATGTTTTTTCGAAATGCAAATTTTTATTTATGAACCAATTTTTAAATATGGAATTTTGTCATAAAAGTAAGGTATCATCACAATATTATTATTGTTAATTTCATGTTTTAATCGAGTTTATAGTCGGCAACATGGCACACTCCCTAACATCAAAATGTTGCGTCCTCCCTAATGGGTAGAGTAGCAGAGTGGGTTGACTGCAATCGTGCTATGGACACAGACCAATACAAGTGCACAAGTGTCATTTTATTACTGTAAAATATCCTTTCATCATCACATATATCAACATCTCACAATACACATTTTTAACCACTGCAGCGGCATCAACTTTATGTTTTTATCCATCTGTATATAAAGCTCAATTGAAGAATATTAAGACTTTTATTTCAGATAATTTCTGTTTGAAAACAAAGGAATTCGTTTCTAACTTAATAAATTCGGTTAGGGATGTATTTATAAATGGTTTAATTATAACTTCTTTGGCTGTATTTCAGAATGAGTTGTAGATTTAACAATATTCAACGGTAAATCGGAATCTCTGACATAATTTTTGAATCTTCAACCAATGATTTTATGCATGTTTTCTTTTTATCATATAAATCTTGCGGGTGAAAAATACAGTTAAATGGATGATTATCGATATTTGCCTCTAATTTTATTAAGAAATGAGAAGTTAGTTTTATTCTTCTTAAGTCGAGAGGTGGTTCATTTGATTCAACATATAAACTGTCTACAAGAAAAAATCAAAAAGCCTTTCAGGACAATCGAAGGCCTTGATGGTGGATTGCGTTAAGCGAGGTCCTTGCTGATTCATAGAGTACAACCATATTGCATAGTCTAATTTTGATCTGACTAGAGAGCGATAGAGTTTAAGAAGAGTATTTCTATCTGCCCCATTTAGTGTTTTGATAACTTTCATCATATTTAGACCCTTTGTACACTTCAAAAACATTTTAGTAAGTGGAATAAGATAGTGTTTTTTCTCGAAGATTTCACCTAAAAGCTTTATCTCTATAACTATTTTTATTGGATCTCCATCTAATTTCATATGCAGATCAGTGGTCTTTTAGAACAGAAATTCACGCGTGCAGCTTTGTTTTCTAAAAATTTGAAATCATTCATATCAGCCCAATTTAGAATTTTGTTTAGACACGACTGTAATATTTTTGAATTTTTAACAGGACAAAGTCATCAACATACATATAAAAAATCCAAGCAATGCCATATAATTTTTAAGTACTTCAGCTAAACCGTTTATTTTGAAATCATTCATATCAGCCCAATTTAGAATTTTGTTTAGACACGACTGTAATATTTTTGAATTTTTAACAGGACAAAGTCATCAACATATAAAAAATCCAAGCATATAATTTTTAAGTACTTCAGCTAAACCGTTTATTTTTATACTGAATAATTAGACTGACAGGATACTTCCTTGTAGTACACCCATTTCTTGGTCAAAATTGTTCGAGAGAGTATATCCTAAACGTACTTGAAATTTTCTGTCGTTTATAATTTTTTTTATAAATATATGTAAATTAACTTTCAGGTGAATATTAAAAAGATCTTTCGTAAAACCGTATTTTCAAGTAGTATCGTATGCTTTTCTAAGTAAAAAAAAAACAAAACAAAACAAAAAAAAAAAACCCATATACGGCATGTTCTTTTCTTTAACAAAAGCAATTCAAATATAGGTTTCCAGCCATACATGTTTTAAATGGTCAGTTGTACTTCGGTACTAAGTGTTCGTTGATCATCCGTTCCGTGGTTTTGTGTATGCAGCTTGTTAAAGCAATTGATTTATCATTATTTAGATATGTGTGGTTCTTTCCAGGTTTTGGAATATGAATAACTGTTGCCTGCGTCCAGAAAGGTGGGAGATTCATCTTTTTCCCAGATCATATTAAAGATTTGCAGAAACATTTTTGTTTGTTTAATTATTTGATAACGAATCTGGTAATGCAGCTGCATCATGGGATTTATCCAGAGACTTTTGAAATCCATCGAAAGTTTGTTTGTTTGTTGTTAAACGTCCCTCTCGAGAATTTTTCATTCATATGGAGACGTCACTACTTGCCGATGGAGGGCTGTAAATTTATACTCGGCACTCAGGGCCATTGAGCAGTGATGGATATTTTCGTGCCAACATCTACTGCGACACGGGAGCCCAGTTTATACGGTCTCATCCGAAGGACCGGTCTCCACGTTCCGCAGTGGAATCGAACCCACGACGTAAGGATCAACTCCTTACTCCAGGACTCTAGAGCAGACGCTCTAACCACTACGCCACGCGGGCGACTCAATCGAAAGTAAATGGTTCCATTTAATATTCGTTGTTTTCAGATGTGAAATTTAATGTTTCCCTTTCTTGTGCATTTTTATTTGTGATAAAATTAGTGCTCGTTTCATTTGTTGAAGAATTTTTGGCAATTGCCTCAGTTATTTCATCAGATATTTCTCTCTTATCTGTAATAATTTGATTTCCAACATTAAGAAGATGATTTTTTTCGCCGGAACCTTTTCCTTTTATTTTTCTTATCGCATACCATACCTTCTGAATAGGAGTATGTGAATTAAGATTTTCGTTTGCTGTAATTCATAGTTCTTTGAGTATTTTCTTGGAATATCCGAAAAATACTAAGTTTTATTGAAGACGATGATTTGTAAACATCCGTTCTGCCTTTTTTTACGAGCTTTTATATCTTCAGTGCATTCTTCTAAAACCATGGTTTCTGAATTTTAGAAGAATTTGTCGAGATTTTAGGAATGCAATTTCAAAGGAGACTTGTTATGTCTCCCTAATGATTTAGAAGTATCTGCAGCTACATGCTCTGATTTTGCCACAATTACGGGTTTTGGTGCACCTGCAGCTGCAGTGCCTACAGATGCAGGTGTGATGCCTTTTTGCTTTGCCATTAGATAACAAAGGACCTACCGTTTTAGAGATCTGTTGAGAAAATATCATTCACTGACCTGTGTCGGCATATCCTTCTTTGAAAATGATTTTAAAACTGTTGCATACGATGGCAGATTAGGTTTTGGAGCACTGTACATATTGACAAGCTTTTTTCGCCTCCGCTTTTATGCTTTAACTTTCTGAATTTCGTTTTCTTTTTTCCATAAAGGACATTGCTTGGAGGAAGCCATATGATCACCTTGCAGTTGACTGTTCTTTCATTTCGGGATTTTCTGACAGGATTTGCCGTCATGCCCCTCTTTCGCCGCACCTGAACATGTTTCAGAGCCTTTACAGTTTGTTTGTCCCTGTCCTGACCGCTGACATTTAAAACAACGCAGCGGATTTGGCGCAAACATTTCAATCTTCATCTGATACAGTCCGACTTAAATGTTAGTTGGAAGTGCTGACGTATAAAAGGTGTTTGTAGGTTCGGTATTTCATCTCTTTTTTTTTTTCTTGAACTGTTTTACAGAGACCACTTCCTGGGATTCCAATTCATATAGAATTTCCTCTTCAGGAATGCCATTTATGTCGCGATCTTTATCGAATAGTACACCTTTACGCTGGTCCACCGAGGATCTTATTAATTACAGAGATGTCTGCGAGAGTGTTCAACAAGGAAGTAGATTGATGCTTTTTGACACTTCAATAAGGAGAAACCTGATTTTAACTTTTCAACAGATTTTGGTGTTCCATTTGCTCCCTGTATACCTTTTTGTATTATAAAGGGCGACACTCTTGTTTAAAAATTTTATGTTCATCAGATAATTGTGCTTCAAGTGCAATGAAACGGGGCCATTGTTCCACAGCTGAAGTAATATGCTCATCTTTTAAAGAGATTTCTAAAGCTGATGGGCAACGTCAATTGCAAAAAGAAGAGACACTGAGATAATATCGAGGCCTCTGCTGTTGGACAGTTAGTCCTCGAGGGTCTCTACAGCCCAGTAGCTAAGTACTTCGGTACTAGCTTGAAAATACGGGTATGTATTTAATTGTTTCAAAATTAAGGAATATCTCCCTCATGCATAGTTCTGATCCTTCAACGTATTTGACTCCAGTCTCTAACACCATTTTACATCTCTTTAAATTCTTTTTTATTTAAATATTTCGGATTTCCAACGTTTCAGCATGAGCATCACTGAAGAGACATAATTTGTCGAATGCGAATATGGTGCATCAAAATTGGTATCGTTTATAATTTACATAATAACAAAAGGGTTACAAATACATACTATGGCAGGTCAATAAAATCAGCTCGACGTTACCAGCCATTGATGAAGTCGGGCTAAACTTGACCTCCCGTTTAGATGAATATGGAGCAAAAGCGGAATGATGGTCATGTCAGGTGCACACCCAGCACCTGCAGGTCAGCCACCGGTATTCCCTTCTTCCCCAACAAGGGTCGTAACCCACGTCCAACTGGTTGCCCCATTTAGTCGCCCTTACGAAATACAAGGGGGTGCCGATGCTTGTCACCCGGCTCTCCATCGGGGTGAAGATAGAGAACTGTAATCATGATCAAAGTAAAATGAAACATTATACGAGTAAACAGAGCAGAGCAAACACGGACTTCTGTGCACATCAGAAGTGGAATAAGGTACCATGGAGGAGTAAGTATCCCCCTGTCAACCGGTCACCCACAGTTTGCCCCTTGACATTCGTATTTGCAAACAGCGTCATTATATCGGCCATAGAATTTGCGAAATAATTGACTTAAAACAACAAAATTGTGGATACCTTTGTATCATCAACTTATTTGTCAGTAGTCTGTCTCGTTTTAGAAGTTGTCCGTACGTATTTTTTACGTACGAAATTTATTATACTTTACATAATTCAGAAACAAGCACAACTAGATAAATACACATTGCAGCTTCAAAACAAAATTTTTTCCACAGAAGATAAAAAAACACTGCTTGCAGTAAATTCTGTGTTAATATATCAAACAAGAAAGAAAAAGAAACTTAAAAAAAATTAAGAAAAATTAAAATTTTGTTATAGTTGTTGGCAAAACATAGAGAAAGCTGATATTTTGTCCTTAGTGGGCAAAATCTGTATCTAATTGGACATTGCCAACAAAGTCAGTAACTTATAGGTAATAGACCATCGTTGTAATGGACCATTTCCTTCATTTAATGATTTGAAAGTCGATAACCGTTCATACCTGTATGCCATACTAGTGATAAGGCGTAAATTAATAACAATCAAAATACTCCGCATTTATGGATTTCCATAGGCAGCTAATCAAATTATAGATTCCTATTTCTGTATCACTGACACTGAAAGTCTACAACTTAAAGAGAGGATTTTGCGATATTTGCCTGCTTTGGAATGATAAATGAATAAAATCCGATACAAATTTATGATTTTGTCTCTGACGATGCGTGTTGTATTTTAAACGAACTTGAGTGCTTTATATATTATTATCTTAATGAATGCAAATTGTTCATTATTCTTAAAATGTTGAAAACTACGAGACCATTATCGTGCCCAAACCCTTCAGCAGATCGTCTAGACCATGCTGACATGCTTAACAGTGACTTTTTTCATGTACCTATTTATCTCTTATTGTTTTAGGGAGGAAAATTTCTATGCAACCCTATATTATGTTTAGTATTCATAATTACATAGCCCTCTTGCATTACAAATAACATCTAAAGTGGATGTTTACTCCTCCATGGCACCCGATCCCACCTCTGATCTTTTTAGAGGTCCGTGTTTGCTCTGTTTCCTATTAGCATTGTTCCAATGGACTTTTGAGCGTGGATACTGTTTGTTATCTTCCTATTTCATTAGACAACCGGATATGTTTTTCAATGATAAATCATAGCTTTTCTTAAAAGGTTAGATGTACCATGGTTAGTAACAAATATACATAAACTTAAAGATATAAACTTAGAAACACCCAAGAACATGTACGTTTATCAGCTTAGGACCAAGACGCTCGTTCAAACTTATGAAGACATTGATAAGTTGCTAGACATTGAACCCCTTCAAAATAATATAATGTAAGAATTTGTGTATGTTTATTGAAATGCATTTAATGGACAATCAGGCATTTCTCTTAATAGTAAATAGTTTTATTCTTCATATGTAGACAATACATTTCTTCATATGTAGACAATACATGTATTTACAATTTTGAACTCGGGGTAAACAACTTTAAGCCATTTTCAGGTCATTGTCCTTTGAATTGAAAAATTAAGCACTTACCAAATACTTACAATTATTACTTACTGTCAATTATTGTGATGCAAATTGAAATATTAATGAAGACAAACAATTATTTATATTTTCTATCCATTAATATTTAACAGATGCTGGTGAAATACAAATAGAAATAATGATTTGTACAAATGTGTTCGTGTTTTAAATCAATATAAGCCATTTAATTTCGACAGCCAAACAATACAATTTAGGTAGAGATGATAAAGTTCAATCAACATAAATGCTTTGACTAGGGATCGCTGAATTTGGATTGATTTATTTTATTTGAAAATATAGTCGAATAGAGTTGTGAAATTTAATAAAAACGATATTGAAAATATCTTTCTCTCGATCATTTATGATTGTATTGATACTTAATTTGAATTGCTATTCATTTCTTAGTTCGATCGCTAAGCATCACATTCAATTTTTAGATCACCTGAGTCACTCAGGTGACCTATTGCTATCTGTTTTTGTCAGTCGCCGTTCGTCATCAATCGGTCATAAACTTTTGAACACTTTTAGCTCCTTCTCTGGAACCACTAAACCAATTTCAACCTATTCTAGCATATAGCATCTATGGGAGAAGGGGGGCAAAAATTGTGAAATTCATGGCCCCGCGCCCCTGGGGCCTGAGGTGTGGGGCTCAAACATCAAAATTAATGCAATCTTTAAAAATCTTCGTTACTCCTGGACATCAAGCAGTCAAACTGTTGTCATGATTGTAATAACCTTTGAACCCTCTACCAAAATTGTGAAATTCATGGCCCCAGGGTCAGAGGTTCTTGTTCTAGGGCGGGGCTCTAATGATTATATAGTGAAAATGCATTAATTCTTTGAAAATCTTCTCTGCTCCTGGGTATTAAGCCGATGAACTAAGTATATAGTTATGATGAGGAAGAGTGCCTTTTCCAGAATTGTGAATTTCATGGTCCTTGGGTCAGGGCTTCTTGTGTGAAGGCGGGGCTCTAATGATTATATAGTGAAAATGCATTAATTCTTTGAAAATCTTTTCCTCTTTTCTAGGGTATTTAGTCGATGAACTAAGTACATAGTTATGGCGAGTAAGAGTGCCTCTTCTAAATTTGTTAATTTCATAGCCCCTGGGTCAGGGGTTCTTCAGGGGGGGGGGGGTTATTTATTATAAACTGAAAATGAATTAATGCTTTGAAAATCTTCTCCTCTGTCGCTTGGAATTAAGCAAACAAACTAAATATTTAGTAATGATGAGAAAGTTTGCCTCTCCCAAAATTGTGAATTTCATGGCCATTGGGTTCTTGTGCTTGGGTTGGGCTCTATTGATTAATTAACAAAAATGCATTAATGATTTGAAAATCTTCTCCTCTGCCCCTTGGTATTAAGCAAACAAAAGAATAGTAAACATTGGTCCTTTTTCTAAGGTAATCATATCATAATAAATTCAAATACAGTTGTTTTTTTTTTTTATATAACTAAAGCGTTATTTCAAAATAAAATGAAAAAATGGCATATTGGAAGCAATTTTTTAGTGAAACATAAATATGAAATTGTATAAATATACCACCTGAACAAGAACTTTGGTTGTTTGAAGTATCGAATCATTTTTGAGGAGGAATAATTAATAAGAGGACTATGAAATAATTTTATGAGACTGAACAGAAAAATAAGTCAATGACCTTGCCACAAATTTACTTTTTTATGCAAGAAAAAAAAATTTAAATAACAGATGGCGGGTCAGAAATAAGGCATAAATAATTTATTTTCATATTTAAGAAAAACAAGCAAAGAAAAGTCATGTGAACACAATCGTGAATAAAGCATGAAATAAGAAACTGATTTATAATTGCATTTAATGATTCCTGGTTGAGATTGCACAAAAGCTTGATTGATTACCTATTTCCGGATGTGTTTCTCCGGTATCTTTTAACTATTTACTGTGGAAACTAAACATTTATTCTTCACAAGGATGGGACATTTACCGTATATGGTTCTAGAGCTGTTTACATTAAGTAAAGGTTAGATACATTTATATGCTTTCTAATGATTAGTATCTTAATAAAAAGCGAAATGTAAAATGAAATGTTATTGTATATTTGTAATGAAAATATCGTTTAAAACATCACTCAGGTCTGTTAATTGGGCTATAGTGAATTTATAGATAAACTTATAACAAACTGCATAATTCGAGAAAAAGAATTATTGTACATACTAGGTACAGTCATGCTGAAGCTTACTGCTTATTTTTAAAGTTAATGATTGTCTATAAATTCTAAACATCAACTTCGTGATTTTTTAAGTAGGTCATTCGTCAGCTTTTGGAAAAAAAAACTTTGGTCAGAACCTCTAATATAAAAATATGACTTTCAGATCAATTTCTATAGCATATTTGAATTAAACAGTGCTCAGTAAAAATATGCAATAGGATTTACGAGGGACTATTTCTTGTAATGGAAGATTATGAAGAGGAAATTAAATTTCAAAAATCTTAACATTTGTTTTAATCAGTGTGTTGGAATTTTGGTCCTACATATATTTACTCAAAGAAATGTTTACGTTTTTATAAGCTATAAATAATCAATTTAGGTTTGAAGGGATGTTTTTAAAACAAATTTTATACAATTATTTAACATATCTCAAAATTTATACCACAGACCCCAATTTTTTTTATTGTGTGTGTGTAATTTTATTTTTTAAAATTGCCCGATACTTTGAACCATTAAGGACTTGATTCATAAAAAAGCTTGGAATAAGAAAATATTTTATTGCCTGTTTAGATTCTTAATACCCAAAATATGATATTTTAGTTTGAAAACGTCACACACAAATTTGCAACATGTTTTCAATATAATATACGTTATTCACACTATTGTCCATATAATAGAATATTTATTACCATGATTATCTCTAGAAAAATATGATGGGGGTTAAGGTGATAAACCTAATAGTTACAGTTTAAGTGCAAAAATGTCAATCTAATTGCACCGTTGCTGAGTAAGATGCACACTAACCTCAATTTTCTTTTAGAATTGGAGTAGCGCTATATAAGTAGTTATCTAAAATATACCTCTTAAAAATCCTTGATATAACTTATATCACGAGTGATATACCTTAATTAAATACTATAACAACATTCTTCAATACTGTTCTTACTTTTAGCTGCAGCTCAAACCTACACACATACAACATATACTAGAAATCTGATTACAAAAACAACGTTAGAACCAACTTTATTAGGATCCAATGAAACCAAGACTGTAAGTGATTGTGGACAGACATGCCACTTTTCTTCAACATGCTCATCCTTTTTATTCAATGGAACCCATTGTGTGACTTTTGAAGGGACGATGCATTTTGAGGAAGGCAGTCAAAGAGAGGAGTATTTCATTTTGTCAAACAAGCTGGTTCATTCTGACATTTCTGGTAATTATGATTAACTCTGTACTTTATATTATGCCAAAAACAGCGGTTAAAGAAGTGAACTTAAAAAATTACCTGCAAGGTAACTGGGTATATGCGATCACACACCTAACAAACCAAAGCACATATATGACTACTGGGGTCAAACGTAAGAGGCTAAATACACTATACACGTTTGTCAATTATACATAAATAACAACAGTTACTGTAGAAGAACAAAGTCTTTAAAACTTGTGAAAAGTAATTATTATAAACGCATGAAACAAATCATTCGAATCCCACAGTGGGACGTGGAGACCGGTCCTTCGAATGAGACCTTATAAACCGAGGTCCGGTGTCGCAGTAGATGCTAGCACGAATAAGATCCTTCACTGTTCAATGGCCCTGAGTGCCGAGTATAGGTCAAAATTTGCTGCTCTCCACCGGCAATTGGTGGCGTCTCCATATGAGTGAAAAATTCTCGAGAGGGAGGTTAAACAACTACAGAGTTCAATAGTTCTGAAAGACAGAAAATCCGTTGATTATCAGACATCAAAGGACCAAAATCCGTATAAAGTATGGATGGAATTATTCTCGCCAATCTCTTATATTATCAGTAAAATAAGTTGACAAAACCCTTTTATTGGTTAAAATTATATTTGTGATTTAAACAAGTACAAAATTGAGTAGGCGGAAGTCATAACATGAACAAGCACAAATTTCAAACGAGGTAGAATCATTAGTTGAAAATTACAACGTAAACATTATCATGTGAAATAGCCCTTCAAAATTACATTCGATTAATCGATAGTGTTAATATTTTTTTTATTTCAACAAAACCATAAAGTCATTAGTATGATGCATTTTAATCAACAATTAAAAACCTGTTTCGAAAAAAGTGAATTATGCAATATGCATTTATATGAGTTATTCTAAAATCTTATGTATTGATTTTTAGGTCATTTTCATTAAATTTTAGGTAAATTTGCTACTGAATGTACATCACATGGATACATCTATGATCCCCTAGTCCCGTTGTGTTATAAAGTAAACTCTACAGGTTTACCAAAGGATGATGCTATGACATCCTGTGATCAAAGTAATGGTCATTTACTGAGAATAAATACATACAGGAAACAAGCTTTGGTAGAATCCTTGAACTTACAAGCAACAGGTAAACAATTTTGCTTAATCTAATCAGACAGAAAGCTTCGTTTGTGTAAAAGATGAAGATAACGAACAGTGATCAAGCTCATAAATCCAGTAACGAATGTGAATCATGAAAAGGGCGAAAACACGTACGCCTAGAAACGCCTAGGATCAGATCCCTAGGAGTAAGCATACCCTGTCCATCGGTCACATCCGCTGTGAGCCCAATGTACACGTATTAATCGGGTACACAAATTAAGTATAAAAAAATAATACCTACACAGTCTGACACATCTGTTTCATATTTAGATATTTGACTAGAAAAAGACGTTAATGGTAACCTAACAACAAAGCTTTATGATAAACGTTATGACTTCAACTTTCCAATCGTCAACTTCCCTTACTTATGTAGCAATATACCCTTATCACCTGCATATGGGGTTTATGTCTCTCAGTTGATTTCATATGCAAGAGCGTATGAACAATTTCTTAAACGAGGCTAGCTATTGACAAACAAGTTGCTGAAACAAGGGTATCAACAGTCTCATTTGAAGTTATCATTTGGCATGTTTTATAGTCGATACGATGACCTTGTGAGCAGAGAAAACCTATCATTGAGTCAAGTGCTGACTGACGTTTTTCATACTTATTGTTAGGCCATTATTTATACATTAAATTGTCTACGGATTTTTCCGGGTTTTTTTTCGATCATGACAAGGAGCACACGGTGGGTGTGACCGGTCGTCAGGGATAATCACTCCTCCATGGCACCTGATCCCGCCTCTAAATTTTGAGGTCCGTGTTTGCTCTGCTCCAAATTTGTATTGTTTCATTGGACTTTCGAGATTGAATATTGTACGTTATCCTCATATTTCACCTAGGAATTGGTATGAAACATGTCAGACAAAATACGACCCAACAATAGATTTTATTTGCAAACAGGGTTATTAAAACGACCATAAAATTTTCAGAATGCTGACTCTAAACGAGGTTGGTGAAATCCCTGTAACGTCAACTTAGTTGTCAGTAGCCTGTGTCGGTTTAAAAATTGATTGTTCTGAGAGCATATTCAAGCGTATCGAATCAATTGGAAAACATAAAAACCGTATGCTGCGATAGTGGAATAATAATAATATACATGTAAATAAATGAAATTGACGGTGGAAAAACTAAAGTCATCTCGTACATAAAGTACAGTAGTAGTGGTATAGAGGAAAACAACGATATACTAAGGACTGGAAAAATGCTTCGCTATTCTCAGTGCATGAACATGTATATTCTATGAAACATTCAATACTTTGTAGAACGAAATAACAAAATGTGATACAAACATAAGCAGATATTAAATTTAACTGCGTCAATGTAATTTTTTTCTGAACAGATTTAGTTTTGGTGAACATTTTAAGATTCTGAAGATTGTTAAATTTCAATTTGTAACCCCAAGCAAAGTAATATTTCACACTAACTTTTACGTTCGTGGAAGCAAGAAAACGAGAGATTTCTCAAACAACAGATCTAGATGTAAAGGTAGACGTAAATATTAATATTTTATGTTTCATCAATCAATTTGTTGTTGTCCCGACGAATTTTAAAATATTACACAACTGTAGCATCATTTCTTTTTAATCATGAAATTAAAAGCACTGCAAACCACTATCGTATTTATATCAAATATTATATATTTTTTTAGGTTCAGTAACAAAATATCGAGTTGACGGCAGGAAAAATTCCAATGGTATTTGGACTTTTTCTGACGGACGAAAAGTTACCACGTTTTACTGGTACACTGGCGAACCGAGAGATAACCTCAAATCTATTGCACTGAGAATAACATATGAAGGAAAGTGGGACGACGTTAAAGAAACGCATCCACATGGATTTATTTGTGAAAAAGAACTTTCAGTTTAATTACTCTGTATCTCAAGATCAACATTTTGCATCTTTGATTATAACAAATGTTTTAAAATTCTTGTTTTGATGCTGTAAAAATGAGAAAATTGTTGCTATAAAATACATTAAACAATCTACTTCTAGTGACGAAGAGAACTGGTATAATTGTTGGCTTTTTTCAACTTTCTTTGGCAAAAAATAATTCTAGCATCTTTGGTATAAATCATCTATCTTTTTTCATTGTCGAATAATCCTTTCCTTCAAACCTCCCATCTGAAAAAAAAGAAAAAGGTGGTAGTCATGACGATAGTACACTTACAAAAATATCCTTCAATAAATCTGACACGCTTATTGATCATCAATACAGAGCCATAATATCAGAATAATTTCCTTACGATTCAAAAGATGACAGATAAAACAAAAGTGAGGGATTCCAAAGTATTGATCGGCTATGCTGGTGACGCTGTACTGATTCTTGTGTATGTATTTCACATAACCATGTAAACTTTTTCGATATAGGCAACAATAGCTTTTAACTTATTAATCTTAACGATTTAAGGTTGTTAATAATAACTTTAATGACAATAATGTCTTTCACTAATTGAATATTTTCAATTGCCAATGACTACACGAATTAATAGTATACAAGTTTTAGGCAATAAGAATACTTTAAAAAATTCAACATAAGATAATTTTTTTTCTGTGACAATGACAATGAACTTTACTCTTATAACTGAATACATTTTATTATAAACCGAGAGCCAACTCTCTCATACTGAAAGGAAAAAAAGAAACGCAGGGTAAATTTTTCAAATGATTTAATATTATTTTTTCGAATGTATTTTACAGCATTGTTATCTGACATTCATCTTTCGTCAACAAGTAAGCAAAATCGCACAATCGAAAATTCTCATTATTTCCAGTACCTCCCTCCCGCATGATTCTCATCTGCATGGAGTTCATCAGTGCATTATCTTTCTCATAGGGATATTTTTCGACCCTTTCGACAAGGCAGCCCTAAGTTGGTCAAGAGTAGCTTGGACAATCCGACGCCGTCAAGCCCTACCGCCCAGTTAGTCCCATAACTGAATACAGTTTATTCGACTTGAGAAAAAGGGGAATTTCATGGCGGCCAGTCGAGTGGGTTGTGAATGTTTGTAAGAAAGTCTTGGCAAACTCTGGCTACATTGGGCCGGGAGGCCGTGCAGACATATAATTCTCGTCATAAAATATGTTATACAAATTAAACATCGGACAAAAACACTGTACACCATGAAAATTGGTTTACAGATTCTGTAAAAGAATATATTCATTTAAATTTACGAGATTCATGCAAAGTTATCTGATCGAATTTTCCTGTTTGAATCGATAGTGTTTATTATCAAATCTGAGCAATTCATTAAGGTAACAAATAAAAATCGACCAAACCCAGAAAGTTGTGTCGATTGCGGCATTAAATTGAATTTTATGGCAGATTTAATAGGAAATTAATATTGAAAGATAAAATCCAATGAAGATATTTAATCCAATGAAGATATTTAGGCCAATTGTGAAACGAACTGTCACTTTGATTTTTTGTTATATTTTTTTCAGTGTGTGTGTGTGTGTGTGTGTGTGTGTGTGTGTGTGTGTGTGAAAGAGAGGGAGAGAGTTCATAGATTTGATTAGAAAAGTCTTCAATATTTTCGAGGATTTGTAAAAAAAAAAAAAAAAAAAAAAAAAAAAAAAAAACTAATAATCAAATGATGAAGTCTTTTGTAATTTTGTAAGTTGTCTGAAATTTACGGAAGCCGGTAGGTGCCAGGTAGAAAAATATTTTATCTGGCGGCCGCCAAATAATTATCTGGCGACCGCCAGAAAGTTATCTGGCGGCTCCCAGAAAGTTATCTGGCTGCCGCCAGATAAAATATTTTTTCTACCTGGCACCAACCGGCTTCCGTAGAAATTAAACAAAAAATATAATTAAACGCATTCATAAGAATGTATCTCTACATTTAAGTGCCTAAAGGGAAATGTTTTAATTAGTGAATGAGGTATGCCACACCAAAAGTTTAATGAATGTTTAACTGATCTCTTTGGACACGATTTCCGCATTTAAAGACCAATATAATGATTATTAACATGATTTTAAAATTTGTGTTGATTAATTCATGCATAATGTAAGAGCTATTCTCTGTAACGACTTTCCCTTTTTTTGCCACGCATTGTTACCGATTTTGATGAAACGTTGCTCATTATTACAACTTGATACCAGAAACACATATCACATAAAATTTGATTGCTATGTGTCTTGGTTGCCATGGTAACAGCCAGAAAAATTTGAAAATAATGAGATATACCGCTACTTTGAATTTTTATTGAGCTTTATAAGGGCTAAGAAAATCAAACGAACCAATCTCACAAAAACATGACACAGTGTTGACACTTATGCTATAAAAAAACTTTTTAAAATATATCTCTTAGTAAGTGGTAACCAGGGAGGGTACATGTATTTGGAATACATTTTAAATGCTAAACAATGTTGAAAAACGCTCAGTATTAATTATTATTGAATATTTAATATTATTAAATGATACTTGTAGGTGTTACACCTCAATCAACAACATAGTAAAAACAATAAAAATATATGACCTTAAGTAATTAGGTATTGGCATTACTTATTCTAAAAATAACTTTATTGTTGCCACGATAACCCAATTTAGCAATACAAAATTTGTTGCTAAGTTTTGGTTATTGTTGCTTTCTAGGGCCATTCCAAGATTTTTCTCTGTTTTGTGTCATCCATCTTTTAAAAACCTACCTACCTATTCACAAAAAACACACGAGCCAAAATTTAAACAAGAGACTTCATAGTCAGAAAAATGACGTCATTCAAAGATCTATTTTTTTCTCATAGAGAGTTCCATTCCTTAGCAAAATCAAGCTATTAAATGCTTAATATATACCTAATATGACACATTATATACCTAATATGACAGATTTTTAGACAAATATTGAAAGAAATTGATAGTATTCAAAGTTTTTGACCAAACGATTTTGTTTGTTCGTTTGTTTGTTTGTTTGTTTTTCCTGATTTGGGGTGTCAAAAACCAAGGCGCACGCAGACGCTAAACATTAAAAAAAAAACTTGGATTGGCCTTGAGGAAAAATATTTAAATTCAAGACAGGCAAATATACATTGTTAGGACCTTTTAACACAGATAGCGTAAGAAAAAAAATGGGATTAATTGCAATTTTGCGGTGTAATCATTGAAACTACGGAAGCCATGGAGGGACATTGACTTACTTCTTAGGTGTTTTGACTTACTAGTAGTTCTTATGACTTATTTGTTAATTCTTGTTATTCTAAATTTGTTATCACACATTTACTTAACCCAAAACGTGGCGTGAAAGATGGAGACTACGTGTAGTTTCAGAAAAGAAGAAAGTAATATTTTACCTTTGAATTTATTAGTCTAGATAAATTAGTAGTTATGTTCATGTGTTCAATCATTATGCAAACTGGAAGTTACAAATAAGAATAAAGAAATAAGTATTAAGTAAAAAGAAATAACAAATGATAATTAACAAATAAAAATTAAGTTGTAACAACAAAGTTGCAAGATATAAACAGATAAGAATTTAGTGGCTACAACAGTACTGGATGTTAAAGCACAATTAATCAATCAAAACCCACAGTTAAACTAGGAATAAACATATCATTTTAATGATACACATAAGCCAGGCCACACGTTCTCCATAGCTACGTTACACTAAGTTATAACCAGCAACAAAAAAGTAGTAACAAATAAGTTACGACAAATAAGTTATAACAAATAAGTCATAACAAGTAAGTCAATGTCCCTCCAGGCCCCGGGATCATGAAACATCTTTAGCTTAAGTCAAAATCTTTATATTATACTTTAATGCTGGGGAGGTAAAGCAGATCAACATTAAATTATGTTTAAATATTGATTCACAAAAATGTTGTTGTTTGCAAATTTTGAGATTATTTCAATAATTAATAAACATTTTACAGGCGATTAAAAATTTGACTTAAGTCTAAGTTTCTTTCATGATCCTAGGGCCAGGGCTTCCGTAGGAAACAACGTACCTGTGGTTTAAAGTTACATTTTTACTGATTTAGGAATTTAGTTACCTTTTGATGAAGAAACATATTATTTGACTCACCTTGAATTGTACTTATCTGATAGAACTAAAGCTGAATATCATATATACATGTAATTGATAAAGTTTGATGAGGAAATATTCTACACTGCCTGAACGTTTAATTGACCTATGGTATACCTCACTGATAGTAGTGGGTGTCCGAAACCAGTATTTTCTCATTTTTTTTTTCCACCAGCAGTGGAAACAAGTATAGAAAATTTCTTAACTTTTATACTATGTGTAGCCTACACTGTCGTGTCAAGAAAATGTATAGTCTAGGTGTTTGTAGGGATCATCTCAATATACATTTACATGTACTATGGGATTGAATGGGGAAATTTACCATTGGATTGAATGGGGAAATGCAATATTACGATATACTTTTTGCTCAAATTTAATATGTGATGAATAATACTATATTGTACATAATCATAATACATATAACAAAAATCTACGGTCTGCATGGTTTTCAGCGGGGACATGCCAAAATGTCAAAATTCATGAAATTTTCCTGTTTTATGGAGAACTACCATATATTAAAGATACAAGGATTAACACAGAAGTAACAAAAATAATTATTGTGTGGTTTTCTAATTCCTGTGTTCAAAATTTGGAGAGCATAATTATGTTTAACGGTTTTTCTTTTATTACAATTTTTATGACCCTTTCTTAAACTCTTCAGTTTATCATAACGTTGCAAATAAACAATAACGACGTCCATCTACCAACCAATTGAAAAATCATTAAAAACATCAGTTCTCGAAAGTTGATATTTAAAATTTTTACCTTTGATTTCTTCATTTTGTTAGATTTGATAAATTATGCTGAAGCAATTGCTTTAAAAGTGTAAACCCTTTATTTTACTATGCTTAAGTATTGCGCAATGGAAATCTCAGTCTGTCCCCTTAATAACTGAATTATGTCTCAGTTGTTATTAATATCGTGCGAAAAGTTGAAACAAACTTTTAATGATAGAAGAGAAAACGGCATAAAGATCTGTATCAACAACTTACTATTTTTTTCTCCAGAGTGGGTGAATCCATTACTAATGGTCTGTGATTTGAATAACTTTTTCCAATGAAGCATATCTATACTCTCTATTACGACGTTTTAATTGGGCAGGCATGTAAAGAGAAATATCACACCAGTCAACAAATTAATATTTTAGTGGTTGTAAACCTGTGCTATTGTCTGTTGAATGAATTTTAATCTCCTGGGAACTCACGGGTATTTATTGCTATTTGCTGTTAAATCACCCATTTCAGAAAACGTTGTGATGGGGTATACGCATTGAACATGCTTTTGCAGCTGTTATTTGTGAATGAGGGTATGTATACTGTAAATCAAATCGTTTCATTTTATATAATAATGGTAATTGTTGTTATATCACATATGTATAGTAATATATTGGTGATAAAATAGCATAATTATAAGAGAGAAAATTATGCTAAAAATCATTTGAATACGTATTGAGGGCTATTTTCACAAAATTACTTAATACTGAATATGAATTTGTGACTATGATAAATTTGTTTAATCAAAAGATAATGAATAATGTGCAGTTGTGTCTTTGGTATATTTTGATGTTTTAGTAAAATTTCAATGAGATCAAATCAAATGAGATTTTTTTTCTGTAATCATGTGTTTCAGCAATGAAGAAATGAAAGGTCAAAATATCAAATATTATTATACTTCTAGTTCTGGCACAATCCTACAAACATACAACATATGTTAGACAGCTGACTTCACACCCAACAGTAAAAACCAGTGTGTTAGCGTCCATTGATGCAAAGAGGGTGGAGAAATGTGGACAAGAATGTCATGCTTCTTCGACTTGTTCTTCGTTTTTCTTTAATGGAACTCACTGTGTGACTTTCGAAGGATTCTTTCAGTTCATCGAAAGGGATAACACTGAGGCATATTTTACGAAGTCAACTAGTGTGTTTCATTTTGACATAGCCGGTAATTATTCTGTTGTATAAAATATTCAGCAATTACATGTCATCGTAGATAAAAACTGATTACCAATGGTTGTCTATAACAAATGTCACTGTGAAATCACTCATTTTTGTGAGGTTTAATATTCTTTGTTTTTGTGATATGAAGAGGTCCACTAATTTATTCCTTCTCAAAATGTAAAATTTTTGTACATATAACAACTCAACACTCCTTTATCAAGGTAATTAAATCCCCAAGAAGCAATTTTTTTTCTTCAAACCACGAAAATTGACCCCACAAAAATAAGTAGTTTTACAGTGTTTTGATACACAGAAATTTTGCGAAAGATAAGCATTAGGAATTATTGTGCATCTAAGATTTTAGTTCATTATTTTTAAAATGCTTAGAACTTCCAATTGATCATTCAAAATTTTAATCACTAGTTTTTGCTAAGTATGTAATTTATATTTTAAAGTTTATCATCAGTTTATTCAAGTATTTGCTTAGTCATCCCATTTCATAGATTCTTAAATGATCAATATTTCAACCTTTTTTCTACTGTCTGTTCTGTCATAATTATAGGGATTCTCAGAGGGAACATTTTGTATTTAATCAAAGCATGAAGTCTCTGGAGTTTGAAACTGGACAATGGTTGACGATTTATCAAACTGACAGTGCCATTTTGTGCATAAAATATAACTTCCTTGTAATGGGATAATCATTCTGCATAGACACAAATCTAGAATGTGTTTTCTGTAGTCTGCGACTCGCGACATTAGTACTTAGACAGAAAACAAAACTGAAATAGGTAAGCAGAAAGTTGAACATTTGTAAAACAATATCTTTAAGTCTACAAAATACAAATCTGTTCATAGCTAATTTGCTTTTAATGACCCCGTAATCGAAGATTAACGTGTATTCCTTGTAATAAGACCTTTCTTTGAGTACCAACATATTTGACCTCTTTACATTGACCGTGGATTTTGACCTACTTTTGCAAAATATGACAACTTCAACCTTGGCCTTAACATTTAACCGGTTAGAGCTAGGGCTTTTATATTTCACAAGTGTATTTCAAATATCCAGACCTTTCTTTTGGCACCAACATTTTTTACCTTTCGAACTTGACCTTTGAGTTTGACCCACCTTGGGAAAACTTTAACCTTGGCCATAACTTTTGAAAGGTGGGTGCTAGGACTTTCATGTATCATGTATATGCCTTGTGACAAGACCTTTTTTTTTTTTAATTTCTCTTGACTTCGACCACCTTCAGGTTTGACCTACATTTGAAAAAACTTTATCCATGCCCATAACTTTTGAAGGGTTGCTGCTAGGGCTTTCATATTTCACTTATGCATTCCTTGTGACAAGACCTTTCCTTGGTACCTTTACTTATCGACATCATGGCATTAATCTTGGAATATGATCTATTTTTTGAAAAACTTTAACCTTGACCATATTTTCTGAATGTTTGGTTCTAAGTATTTCATTTCACATGCTATTCCTTGTAACAAAACCTTTCTTTGGGTATCATCAATTTTAAACTTTTGACCTTGGAGTTTGACTTAAATTTGAAAAACTTTAACCATGGCCTTGAGCTGTCATACGGGGGCATCAGTGTTTCACAAACATATCTTATTTATCCTGCATTAGTAATCTGGAAAGTGAATATAAATAAATATCCATTAAACAAAATATTTTAAAAATGGTTAACACATAAGTTCACGTTATCCCGAAGTACAAGTGCATTATAGCCTTATTCATTAATGCACTTATTTTATATTGATAATAAAGTCTGACGACACATTCCTCTAATATCTGTTCTTGTAAATCTTCGTTATATACCAAAATAGTAAAAATTCTTATTATTTTGTGATTTCTAAATTGTTCTCAAAATGTCTTACGAAATATTACCAATTTTATTCCCTTGATGCGGTGGATATGGCTCATTTGATATCGTTTTCATATCAACAGTCATGACGCCACAATTTTTTTTTTTTTGCGTAATTTGTGATGAATTAAATAGATTCACATGTATAAAAAAAATTTCTAACATATGATAGCTATATGTAAAACATGACAAATAGAATCTTTCATTGGTTTGTGGTTAGATATGATCATTATCAAACTCGTTGGGTGTTATCCATCTCCTCGCCAAGCCTCACCTCGCCTACGCTCGGGGATAGAAAACACAACCATTCGTTGGATAAAAATCATATCCAACCATAAAAAATGGGAGATTATATATATAACGTAGAAAACATCCTTTGGTATCTTGCACAAATGCCTGGTATTATACCCTATTTTTTGTGAGAAAGCTTTGCGAGGTCCGTGTTTGCTCTGCTCCAAATTTGTATCGTTTCATTGGATTTTCGAGATTGATTAATGTTCGTTATCTTCATATTTCATTGTAAAAGCAGCAATATTTCAATCACAAATAATTGTTCAAAATAATTTACACATGTATTATAGAGCAATGTGCCGTCTGACCTTAAATTTTTTATCAAATCTTAAAAGAGGAGGACCTACAATTACAATTTATTTAGCATGTCAATGATTATAACAATCTTACCTGAATTTTGACCACCATAAGTCCGACGAGATTACCTAATTCATAAGTTAGGAGCTAATTTTACCATCTTGCTTATTTCTTTATTTATTTACCTAACTTTAGGTAAACTTCAGTCAGAGTGTACATCAAAAGGATATGTCTACGATCCCCTAGTCCCTTTGTGTTATAAAATTAATGCTGTAGCTCTATCAAAGACAAATGCTTCGAGATCCTGTCAACAAAGTAATGGTCATTTGCTGAGAATAAATACATACAGGAAACAACTTTTGGTAGAATCATTGAACTTACAAGCGACAGGTATGGATGTTAATATTCTATATATCATATGCTAATGTCTTTATATGCATATATATTGTTTTCTTGACTTCAATTATTGACAAGTTTAATTAAATTGAGTGATCGAAGTCTCTGTTTATTGTTAGCATGTAAATACTGGTAAGGGGACATCCTTTCTGCAATTTTTTAAAGCAAATAATCATCTAAATTTACCCCAATGCATTATTTTCTTACATACGAATATTATTTATTGCATTAATAATCTTTTAAACATTTATATATATTATAGAGATATTTCCTATCCATTTAGATTTGTTATAAAACATTGCCCCTTTTCATATTTCCACTTGTGTTTTTTTAAATTTATGAGCGGGGTTTTAACATACAATGTTTAGAAAATTTATTGAATAAAAACACATTATAATTTTTTCTTGTTGCATTCGCAACCGGAAAACAAAAAACTGAGTCAGACGATGCAATTTTAAAATTGGAAGTAATTTTCCATTTGCGAATGATTCAAAGTGTCATGTTGCAAATTACACGAAACACACTTTAATTTATTACCACTAATTAACATGCATGTTCTTTAAATAATTAATTCTCTAATACACAAAAACGTACCAATTTCTTTTTTTTGGGTTATCCTTTAGACTCTGTTTCGAAATATCGAATTGATGGAGAAAAACAACCCAATGGTGTCTGGACTTTTTCTGATGGAAGAGAAATCCTCACATTTTACTGGTACCCCAGTGAACCTAAAGAGAATCATAAATCTATAGGACTGAGGGTGACATATAAAGGACAGTGGGATGATATAAGCGATACTTGGCCCCATGGATTTATTTGCGAACGAGTGTCTTCAATTTTATAACTACAAAGACAGTGTTGTTTTGAACAGTCTATTATTTTTACGACAATTCCCAATAGGAATACTGTAAACTTAGTTATTCCCGTTCTTTCTAAAAAAAAAAATATTGTTGTTGTTCTTATCCGTCCATAGTCTGTAACACTTTCTTCCTCGAGTTCCTCTTACATTTTCATAATCAGCTGCAGCCAACCCATCTTTTGATATATAATTACAGATAATGTTCTGCAGATGTTCAATAAGATTTCAAAATATTCATTTTTCGCCCTTGTGGCCAATTGGGGATCGAATAAACAACGTTTTTTTCTACAAAATCTTCTTCCTCAAACTTCACTTACATTTTAAGCAGTATCCAATTTATCTTTTGGAATAAAATGCTAATGAAGCAGGTGTTCTGTAGGTGTGAAATAAGGTTTCAAAACTTTGAGTTTCACCTGGTGGTTAAATTGGGGTCGAAAAAGATTTTTCTACAAAATCTTCTGAAAACCCCTTTAACATTTTACGCAGTGCCCATTCACCTCTGGGAATATGACTGGTGATGTCCTAAAGATTTACAAAACGCTACCTTCTTCCTCAAATCCTGTTACATTTGAATAATTAGTAGTTACCAATTCCTCTTTTGGAATATGATACGTTGTGTTTTCTTGATTTGCAATGCAGTTATAAAATTTTCATTTTCACTCTTGGGGCTAATTGAGGGTCGAAAAAAAGACATTGTGTACAAAATCTCCCTCTCATACTCCTCATATTAACAGTAGGAGCTAATCCAACTTTAAGAATATGACAAGTGGTGTAATGTAAACGTGCAAGGTTTTAAATTTTTCATTTTTATCCTGGAGACCAATATGGGATTGAAAAACCACATATTTCTATAAAGTCTTCATCAAACTTCTCATACATTTTCAGCAGTACAATGTTGCCATCTGATCTTTTGGGCGAAAATTACAGGTACAGTGTAGGTTGTGTCCATGTGATGTACAATAAGGTTTCAGAAATTTCATTTTCAACATGGGATCAATTGCATGAATTTTTACATGTGTGTGACTATCAAACTTCGGAGTATTACATATTGTGCTTTTTTACATGAAAGTTTCTACCATTGCACTTTCTCAACACATAATACATACATGTATAACATAAATTACATAGATGTCTTTATTGATCTACTTAGAGGTCTACGACTATTTTTGCAAGATATGTAATATGTTTCACATATTTGTTTGAACAAAGCAACTATCAAACTTTGAGTCTTAAATAGATTTTTTAAATAATTGTACTGTTTTACATGAAAGTATTTATTTTTGACATATTTGTTCGAACAAAACAGCTAAAATATATTATAGCTGCATGGGTATTTAGATACAAAACATTTATGCCTCTTCATTTCCCTATCAACATAAACAAACTCACATGTGTGTTGAAAATATTTATTGATCAAAATAAAATTGTATTTGGTATAACATACTTTAATCAATTCTGGTAGCCAGCTACTAGTAGCTAGCCTTACTCACATGTCGTAGCCAGTTACTAGTAGCTAGCTTAATTCACATTATTTTAAGTCAGTTACTAGTAACCAGTTACTAGTAGCTAACTTTACCCACTTGTAGTAGCTATCCAGTTACTAGTATCCAGTTACTAGTAGCTAACTTTACCCACTTCTCGTAGCTATGCAGTTACTAGTAGCTAACTTTACCCACTTGTCGTAGCTATCCAGTTACTAGTAGCCAGTTACTTGTAGCTAACTTTACCCACTTGTCGTAGCCAGTTACTAGTAGCCATTTACTAGTAGCTAACTTTACAGTAAATTTGTTTAGACATTACAAAACGATGAAGATTTCTTAAATATAGGATATGAAAATAAATCAATAAGCAGCTGATTAGTCTAGAACATGATGTATTGCAATTACGTGTACTTGGATGAAAACTTGCTGTGACGTTCAACTCAGCATTATGAAAAATCAATAACGTGTTATCAATTAAAAGTATTTGCTTTAATTCATACATAGACTCGATGTATCTTACTGAACTCGAAATAAAAGACACCTCATAGTCTTCCACATCTGTTTCATATTTGGAAGTCCTGACTATAGACAATTGTGGTCGACTAATAACTAAACAGTAGGGCAAACAGGATGACTTTAGCTTCTTCATCGTTAACTTCCCTTATTTAAGTAGATGTTTTCCAACAACATCTTCATATAGTGTTTATGTCTCCCAAATGACTCAATATGCAGGAAGATGCTGTGAGTATGATTGATTTTTAAACCAAGGCAAACTACTGACAAATAAGTTGGTGTTTTACGGATTTCAACAACCCTGTCTCATGTTCAGCTTTTCACAAATTCTACGGTCGTTGTAATGACCTTGTTTGTAAGCTTTTTTTTTTTTTTTTTTTTTTTTTTTAAATACTAAATTTGACTGTGGATTATTTCGTCTGCCTGTTCAATACAGGTCGGCTATGTAAGCACCAAGGATAGGTTGTATTTGCTAACAAAGGCATGATAACGACCATAGAATTTACAGAATGCTTGCTTAAAACGAGGTAACACTAACGTATTTGGTAGTAGCCTACTTTGGTGTAAAAATGATTGTACTCAGGGCATGCTCTTGAGTATCGGAATATGTTAATAAAAGATTAAGTCATCTCGTTTGTCATACATTTAAGTTTTTAATTGACCCTTATCGTCTATAGTCAATAAGATATTCAAATACATGTATGATACAGATGTGACAGACTCTGGTGTCTTATTTTGAGTTCACTGGTATGTATCCAGTCTACATTTGAATGGAAATAACAATTGTTTATTGATAAAGCTGGATGTCGAGTTGAAGTCTACAGCAAGTGTTTACTTCTTCTTGTGTAGAGCTTTTTAAATAAATTCTGCTTCATAGAAATATATAAACAGGTTGGCTAATAAAGAAGCACAATTAGTGCCTCGGAGTTCCAGTAGTTTTTTTTTTTGAAGACCTGTCCCTATAAACTACATAGATACTGTCATTGAGGAACTCCAGCATCCTTCTAATATCAATTCAGAGTCTTGTTTATAGAATCAGAGTAATTTGGATAAAGTAATTTTGTTGATTGATTGATTGATTGATTGTATGTTGTTTTACGTCTCATTCGCATTCGAGAATTTTTCACTCATACAGATACGTCACCATATACCGGTGAAGGGCTTCAAATTTTGACCTTTACTCGGCACTCAGGGCCATTGAGCAGAGAGGGATCTTAAACGTGCCAACCCCTGCCGTGACACGGGGCCTCGGTTTTTAAGGTCTCATCCGAAGGACCCGCAACTTTCACTTCAAAGTGCCGAACGCATGGCGAAGGAACAGTTGCTGCCCATTTTTTATCGACTTAGGTCAGTCGCGGCCGAGATTCGAACTCAAGACCTCCCTATCACGAAGCAAGCGCTCTACTGACTGAGCTACCGTGAACGGTGTAATTTTGTTGATAATTAAATACAAGATACGAAAATTTCCGAATTCCATTTTTATTGAAGAAGCAGTTGTCTATGACACCAAAATGCCTAGCTTTTTTATCGTGAGGAATGGATGTTTAAAATGTTAAGAAGACATACGTTTTGATGTTACTAACTTTTCAAAAATTTTGTGATTTATTTTTAATTTTCTAAAATACCATTGGAGTTTTCTGAGAATCCACAACTGATTAACACACCACTTCTAGAATATACTATAGCACAGTATGTCTGGACTTTCTCCTTTACAGCAGTTAATATTTTTGAGGAGTAATGTATAGGTGCTTCGCAGAGCACCTGCTGGACCCGGCAATGTATCTTTCTTTGTTAAGCCTTTTATGAAGTTTAGGAATCCAGTATAGGTAGGGTAGATCAAATTCACCTTCGGTGATTGGAGTGCGATAAGTATTTTAGACTGAATATTGATTTTGAAGGTTTTCATCTTTAGAAAGTGAGCTGTGAGTGTAAGTTGGATCTCCAGATATAGAATTAAGAAGCAGTCCAACAAAAAACCAGGCAATGGGTGGCACATCGCATGTCATGGATTTTAATTATTTCTTGCATGTAGACTTATTAAAGCAAATGTTTACACATGGCAACATCAAAATTTTTTTTAGTGTTCCTCTAGTCCTATTTTTGGTAAGTGCTTAATTTTAAGTGCAAAAAGGTCAACAAGTTGGTTAAAAATTTACTACGTTTTTGTTTTGTTTTATTTGAAACAGATACTCAAAAACTGGATATGTCAATAAATATTATTTATAGTATAAACCCTTATCTTTTATAATATCAATGAATAAGACACCAATTTATATATCTTTAGAAAAAATTATGTGGTCTAAACTTGAGTTAAGCAAGTGACTTAATGAATTCACTATCCAATTTTCATTACGTTCTAAAATCCAATACATTTAAATGTCAAAACTTTCTCCTCATGTTATTATGAATACAAAGTACAAATTGTTGAATCAATTTAAAAAATTGGTGGGAACAGGTATATTGAAAGAAATAAGAGGCGTCAAATTATCTACTTTTTATAAATTTATCCAAATTAAACCGATCCCGACCGGAATTATATAAAGAAGAAAGCTACTATAATTTCATCATGAAACTTGGTTGTTTTGTTTTAATATGGTTTACAAATTACTTGATTTATTTTTAAACATGTTTTCTAGATGGCAATTACCATTAATTTGATTACTTCATAATTTTGCATTAATTTCGATCGGGATCGGTTTTATTTCAATCGGGATTGGTTTCTATATTAAAAATTAGAAATATTTTCTAAAATCGGCTCTTCGTTGTATTTTATCGTAGGAATATGTCTGTATTTTATTTCTTTTCTGTGAGTTACATGTTCTTAGATGATTTTATCCATAGATTACATATATCTTAATTACTAAATGTTTTTCAGGTCCATGAAGGTCTTTTTAATTACTTGTAAAACATCTGTTTGATTTCTTGATACACACCTATTTAAAAAGATATTTATTTCATGTAACAATTAATAGCAAATTTTAAGCTTAATAAAATATCTCATTTCCAGGAAAAATATTTTTCTAAATTATCTGGACTAAAAAGAAAATCTAAAGAAAAAAAAATAGTCCTGCAGTGGCGAAATTATACATGCACGTACTTTATTCCAGCAAGTATTTTTTATGTGTATATATACAGCCTCGGCTTAAGTCCAATTTTTTTTCATCCATTCATCATATTAAGGAATATTTTCATGCTCTAAGAAATTTAATTTGAAATAAATAAGAAAAAACCTGTACACTTACATACATATAATCATGATAATAGAGCCCAGAAATGATCGCACGAAAAAAAAAAGCGGGGGGGGGGGGGGGAGGGGGTTTCGTCTGGGCGGCATCCGTTTTGTAACTGGTTTGATAATAATGAGATATTTTGGAAATTTACCAACCTACTGACTTATTTTAACTCAAATAAATAAAGTATTAGCCTATGTGGAACAATTGATAAATTTTAAAAACGAAAATAATAATAAAAAAAAATGTTCCATTGACTCATCTGCCGTTTTAGTGTCAGCTTGAAGTGGGGCGTCCAGCAGTAGAATTGGCAACATTTTCCTCATTAAGTAAATTTATAGATTTCTATAACTTTTTTTCTATTTCAGAGTTTACATTTTAAAAAAAAATAAAGTCTAAACAGAATCTGAACCACCGACACTAGCAGTAAACAACCATTGCTGATATTTGTGAAGTGGGATGTGACGAGTACTTCCGTTCTTACAACTGTTAAAACTTATTTGGTCCAACAGTCGTATAATGCTGATATATGATATTACTGCATATAAGTTAACATATTCAAGTATTAACAACACTTCATGAAGTGCACTGTATCTCGACTTTGCTGAATTTAATGTTGCGTAAATTTGGAATATTTTAGGAATGACTCTAATTCTTGGCCAAATTATTCGAGGATAACCTGGTTTGGGTCAGTTTACGCTTTATAATCCGCGAAGCGGATTATAAAACAGCGTAAACTGACCCAAACCAGGTTATACTCGAATAATTTGGCCAAGAATTAGAGTCATTCCTTATAATTTAATTCTAAAATCATTAAACAACTCTGGGTGTAAAATTTCGTTGCTTTTTATTAGTTCAAATTTGCCGCTCAATAACACAAGCCTAGTAACGGAAGTGATGGGAAGCGAGGGGAGGTAAAAACTGATACATAGTCCTAGCAGCCATGTTGTTTGTTTACATGTGGTAAGATCCAAGTTACTGTTTAACCCCTTTGCTG